TATGTCTGCTTGCGGTTTCCTTCTTTTCACGTTATTTATGTTTATTTGCATATATTTTATTTTATTTCATTTTTTAGTTTTGCTTTGCGAAACGAGCGTAGAGGAAGTGCAGCTAAAACACGCTCATTTATCTCAGCATACACCACGCAAAATTTGTGGTTAAACCAGATGAAACATAGCATACTCCTTGGCGCCCCGCGGTGAATTTATCTACAATTACATTTGAATTTGTTGTCATAGGTGGGGCTAAGGGGGATCTAAGGGTTGTATCCTTAGTTTACTTAATCATAGTTTTTGTCTATTTTGTATACATTTTTAAGCGGATGTAAGCCAAGTTCAAATAAAATATAACAGGAGATTTAAGTAAGTTTTCCGTATTTTAAAATTCAACACCGTTTAAAATTTTCACAATAAATGGTAAAAAATTACAATTATTATAATTAAGTTATACCTTAAATTTTAACAAATTCTAAGACCCCTTTTTAAATTTTTCTAGCTTCTCTGCTAGTTTGTGCTATAAATAAGTGCAGAAATATCTATAATGTTTAGAACGGGTAGAGGTGCAAATTTAAAGGTCCTGAGTTTCTTGAACTCTGCCAGAAGTCTGCTTAAATAAATAGTAGTAAATGCCAAAGGCAAGCTATATCTCTACATATCTTTGCACATTGTATAGAAACTTATTTACGATAATGACGTCCTGGGTTATATGGAAATGAATCTAAGGTTCATAAGTTTACCATTTTACCAGACAACAAAAATTTCAAGTAATCGAAAGTGAATAAATTCTGAAAAGTACTATAAACGTTAATTAAGATTATAAGCTAAAGAAAATAAATACATTTTTTTACAACTCTTAAGGAATTACATTTTCTTTAAAACTTCGTTTGCAGGCATACTTTTCAAGAGCTTTAATTTTGTCTACATAAAAGATTCAATTAATAGAAAACCTTTAGCTTGACCATGTTTATGCTAATTAATAAATAATATATATAAATATAAAACACCTGTATTTATTAGCTAAAAAATATAAAATACAACTTGTAGAACGGACTACAATTTATGCATAAATTAAGTTGTGCAACAAATTCTTAAAAATCCTTTCACTTGGACACAACTCCAACCTGATGGCAACAGCTGTGCCAGATAAACGACAACCGGAGAATGCAACATTCCCATTATCCATTAGTGAAATTTTCTAACCATTTTGTTGCCATTTGTATACAGAACACCCAGATTTCGTTCTTTCCCCCTCCTAAAATCGAGTATGTTCCATAGTCATGTTTGATTTGCAATTTTGCACAATCAAACCTTGCCAAGGCTTACAGGAGGAAGGAACTCGAAATGGAAATGGAAATGCACTGAAACTCGGGCTATAGGATGCAGGAGGCAACACAGTCTCGCAAATCTCCAAAAAATGCCAATACATTTTTGCTATTGACTATGTCTGGCAACAAATTTGTTGCTTGCATATTTTATTTGTAGCGTATGTTGTGAAAATGCAAATGCAAATACTCAAACTTTTTCTAAATGTACAACCAAGGATAGGCGTTTGAAAATTGCAAAAACATAGTATATGTATACAGGAGGTGGTTCCTTAAGTCTTGTATAATAAAAAGAAAAACTATTGGCTTATATTTCACAAAATATTTTATTTACCAAGCAAATTTCTAAGCCATTTAAATACGATTAGTATGTTAGTAGAAAGAATATTTTGTTTTATAATAGCTCACATTTGGCACAATCATTTATTTATTTTCATTTGAAGGCTTCATGTAGTTTTGAATTTAACTAATAAAGCAAAATAAAAATGGAAAATATTGTAAATATATAAGTGCAAGTTGTAACTGAAAATATTTTACAATAAGCCTGATCAGAATTCTTAAAATCAAATAGCTTAGTAATTCATTATCACTTTCCTTAATCACTTATTTATTTGGTCAAAACGATAAGCTTAAAACTCTCTCTTTACTTTCTATGACTTAAATGATTTTAACTTTATATTTTCTGGTAATATTTTCAATCTTACTATTTACTATTATTCTAAATATTATCGTAAAACTTCGAATACAAAGGCTTTAGTTCAATGAGGAAATGATCGAAGCGTAAAATTAATGTTGTGTAAGGTATTTCCAAATCATTGATTAGGACAGCTTTGAGCCTTTAAGCAGACCTGGCCAACGTGGCGTATGAGTGTTACGCGAATATATTTCACAGCAAAGGAAGCACTTACAACTGGGCGTGGCCAAGGTATATGTGTGTGTGTGTGCATTCGTGTGTTATTTGGTGTAAATTATATGGCCGAAAGATGCAAAATTAGCCAAATAATGGCTGCCTAATGTGCCGGAAAGCTGGCGAGCAAAAGTTAATGGCGAAAATCCTTTAGTCCCCCAAATGCCGATGAAAATGAAACATAAAACGTAGCCACTAAAGCAAATGGGAGGGGAAAACACCACACTCACATATATATTTGCTAATCAAATGAGTGTTAGCTGCTTCACTGCCTTGCAAAAGGGGGCCATAAAGGGTTAAAGTGAGGCCAGTAAATTTTTGTGTAAATTTATTCTCAGCCCAAGGGGGGGACTTAAGGTTTTTCGTTTCGTTTATTTTTTCCTCTGTCAAACTTGTTTCGCGGTAATTGAACGGACTTTAAATGTCAGCCAACAACAAAAAAAAATTGCACAAAATGCGGGCTAACACAAACGGCTTTGGTCCACGTTTTTTTCATGATTATTTTTTTATTTTTTTTTTATATTTATTTGCTTTTGATGGGCAACTCTAGCTGAGGTTAAGGCGGGTGGTGCAGTTTGGGACTGCATGGCGACTTTTATGCAAAAGAAGCAACGCCCCGCCAACGCGACGACATCGAAAACTTTTCCAGCATTTTTGTGCTTTTCATTATATATATATTTTTTTTTTTGTGACGTTTTTGTTTTATTTTCATTGCGTTGGCTTGGCCAGTGAGAAAGTTTGGTCATATAGAAAAATGTGTCAGGAAAAAAATTAAACTGAGAAAATAAACAGAAAAAAAGAGAGTTGCTCAGGCTTAAGCTTCGGGGGTTTGTAAGGAAAAATACCCAGGGATATTTGGTTTTTACAGGGATTATGTATTAATATTAAAGAAAAATGGAGAACACCAGTAGGAAGTGAAATTAAATATATAAATTGTTCATAAAATTATCAACAAAGTATTTAAATATAAATCAATCTTAGCATTTCAATTACTTTCAAATTACTCCTCTTAAGTTCTTTAACAAGATTGATAAATTTTCTGAAAATTAAGCTAATCCTTGTTTAAAATATCCTCAACCAAAATATATATACTGAGCATTCAAGCTTATCCAGAAGTAGAAAATTCATGCAGAAAACTGACCCCCACAAAGCGACATTTTTTGGGCGGGGAATCTGCATGGCAGCGAAAAAGCCAAACTGACTTCAAGTGGCATTTTGACATTTTGTTGAATTTCAGCTCGGCTGTCGTTTGGGAACAGGCAGGGGGTCAGGGGGGTCAAGGGGTAGGTGCGTTGCTTTGGTGGCTAAAAAGTGAAAGGAGAAAGGGTCAAAGGGCAGCAAGAGGACTCGCAGGTGGCTGACCATCCAAACGAAACCCAGAGAGACGCATTTAAAGTTTTTTTTTTATTTTTCTGGTTTTTTTGGTAAATTAGAAAAACAATTGCCAAGCGTTGCGGGCTGCAAAAGCTGCAACTTTGGTTCGCAGGTTGACCGCACAAAAAAGTTTTCAAAGCGTTTACTTTTTACACGTTGTATTTCACAACTTGGCCGGGATGGTGTTAAAAGTTCTCCCTGTTTTTTTGCATTTAACCTTTTATAAATATTTTTTTTTTTAAGTCCGATATTCCTGGGGAAAAAGCTGATTTAATTTTGAAATATTTTTGTGACAGGGTTTTGGTGCTATTATTTTAAGGGTAAAGTAGGTAAACACAAAATAGGTTTACTAAAATAAACATTATTTATTTAACTGTTTAAAAGCTTTGCATTTTGAAAATTTATAGTATAATCAAGAATTAAGTTAGGCTGTTTACTTTGAGTATACGTTTGTATATATACAACTTATACAAAATGGATGTATCACTTTAAATTAAATTTTAGTAATTAGTTATAATAAGTAGTAAACATAACATGCATAACCAGCACAGTTGATTACAGACCTAGGCCGCATCTCTCCGATAACATTTATATTTATGATATAATTATCATGATTAAGACTTACCTTAGCATAGGAGACACGTCATTGCTTAAATCCTTCCAGTTTAGAGTTCCTCTTCTTCTTGATCAAAGTGAGCTTCTTCCTGGTTGTCCATATGTATTGCATTGATCAGGCAACTTTTTTGAAGTCGAGTATTAATCACTATCACTACCACTATCACTACCACGATCACTAAAGATGTTAACACTGCAGGTGCCACGGACAGACTAAGGGCGGCGCGCCGCTAGCAGCCCTCTATTTATAGTCCCCGAGCAAAGAGAACAGAGAAAGTGAGAGCGAGAGAGTAGGAGCTACCTCTAGAGGGAGGCAGAGAGAGTTAGAGAGTAAGCGATTTCTCTAGAGCTACACAGCTAGGTACACCGGAAAAGAGAGTCAGAGAGAGAGTAAGTGAGTGAGTGAGTGAGGGAGTTAGTGAGGGAATTACGGAAATACGAACATGGCTCTATCGACACGGCTGTTGACGCTGATCAAGAATATGTATACTTTGTATGGTCAGAAATGACTTATTCACTGCGTTACAAACTTTTGACTAAATTATAATACCCTGCAAATTCCAATAATATATTAGTTTGTAGGTTTGTAAAATAACCAAAATTTTAATTAATTTCTTTTTGATTATTCTCTTGTAAGTTCAAAAACATTTCAAATATAATAGTGGCCCGCCTTAAAAACTGGGCTGCCATATCTACTCGTGGCTATCGCCATCGATCAGCTGAAAACTATCGATATGGCGCTTTTTACAATCGATTTCAAGCTGGACAGTGATTCCGTTAGAAGCAAGAACAAGAGTTGGCATTACAAAAAATACATATACTTAGTACAATTTTTCTGTGTTTGTCTCTTTGTTATTAACCATGAATATGGAATTGCGCGCCGAAAGCTTCAAAAGATTAGTGAATTTGCTCAAAGGTATGGGAATGGGACTTACGTATCACATTTTCACTAACCAATTGGTGCAGATGCTGGCGTCTACGAGGAAGGCATGGATGAAGAGGAGATGCTCCAGTTGGTGGATGTCATGCAGATGTCAATGATTGACTCTTGCCAAATGCCGGTGAGATACCTCAATATTATTATTTACCTCGCTTGGCCTAATTTATGTGATATCCCGCAGGAGAGCGAGCTAGAGTTTCTGAGCCTGCAGCCGAATAATTTACACAGCTCCACTTTGATTGTGGCGCCACCGGTGCCCGCCAGCAATGTCTTCGATGCCTGGGGCAGTCCACCCACCGAACCCATTTACCTGACCGTCCAGGCTTTGGTGCATCATGCCATGGATTGGAGTCCATCGAAGAGGGAAGGGCTAAGTCGCTCTCGAAAAAGAAGCTCTACGGATAACAACCCGCCTTTAAGCGAGCCGAGCGCCAAGCGTTCTATGCCGCTAATGAGCGAACGTCAAGGAGCACAAGGGATCACCAGCTAGCCGAACAGCCCTATAATCCCAATGCCACGCCGGTTTCGCTGAACCAACACGATGTGGACGATTCGGGCGTCAGTTGGGAAGAAGTATCGCTTTCCAGCGTTAGCGATGGCAGCTCGATGCCCTCCATTGGTGAGATTCCCAGTGGTTACATGGTCAGCACCAGTAGTGTCGCCGTCTCTGAATTCTCCGAAAGCCACGAAGAAACTAGCCGCGGTCAAATCTACGAATAGTTTCCTCAAGGTCATCTTTTTGATGGACTTTATTCGAAGTCTGCCATTATTATAAATAAATAAAATTTTTCAAAAGAATATTGTAAAACGATAATAAATTCCATTGCAAGATAATAATGTATTATGATTTGTATTTAATTTTAAGAACATGTTTTACCATTTTCCATTAATCTTTACTATTATTTCGAATAATTTTTAAAAGCTTATACAGTGAGAAAAATAAAAGCTTATTACCAATTTAAAAAATCATTATTCATACATAAGTTATTCTTTTATAAAACATGGAAGAACCAACCACATTTAATTGAAATATCTTAATCCACTTTTAATCAGTATTTTTATTCATATCCATTGTCATTCTTACATTGAAATACAAGCTTCGTTTAAACTTTGTAAACCCATTCCAAAACTCCATGTAAAGTAATCTTCAAATCTCTTAGAACATGTTTTCCATCTTCAAAAAATTACATATACATGTGTATGTTTTCTTTTTTCTCTCTCTAGCGTACAGAACGTGCTGAGGGAGGAATCAACGATTGATCTGCATAGGTCTCGAACAAAATGCGATTGAAGCTGTCACGAACAAATTGGAACGAAGTACGGGTGACCGATAACGGACAAGATTGGCGGACAGTACACGAAAGTAAGCTGTGATATCGAGTGGTTTGGCCAGAGCATTATCCGGAATCCTCTAGTTCTCTTCTTGGACATGCGCCCGCACGCGGAGCCTTGCGTCTTGCCATGGTTCTCGCAGCGGAGCGAAGCCTGCGCACAGCCCTAGCTTTTCTCGAGTTCCTCGACGAACGTGGTTTCGGCGAAGAGTCGTCACTGGATGAGGAGCTAGTGACCTCCTCTTCCTTAGGATCGCCAGCAGCCACGTTACTCCATTGGTCACCAGACATGTACGGTGTAAATTGAGAAATGAAAAAATCGATGGCTGCTCTAGATCAACCTCCATCTCCCCCATTGGAGGAGCATCATTTTCAGTTTCAGAAAAAATCGGTATGGGAGGTCGGCGCTGTCCCGCAACCACATGTTTTATCATAGGCGTAGCAGCAACGATCGGGATATGTCCCCTGAGGAAAATCCTGAATTGAAAACTGATCATAATTTATGGAAAACTTACGGGGTGGCAGCTATGCTAGTAACATTCATGGACCAATCAGCCCCGTCCGAGCTAGAGGAAGTCTCTTCTTCGAATGCATTGCGATCATAATCGTGGGACGAATCGGAGAGACAATAGTCCGTCTCCAGCCGCTGACCTGGGGACGGTGGACTAAGAGCACATTTTTTAATTTAATGTGCAATTATAAAAAATAAAAGCAAAAGAAATCTTACGCATTTTCATCGACTTCATCATCACCCACAATATGGGGAACCGGAAGATTCGGTGGCAAGGGCCTGTAATATATGCTTCAGAATTAAGTACTTATATTTATTAAACCCAATTTGCACTAAAAATTACATTTTTCACACAAGCTCAAGAAAATCGTCCTATAGTCTCCAAAATTCAGCCGCGAAATGACGCCGAGGAAGAAAAAGTTCAGAAGGTTTTCCCTGAAATGGGTGTGGCTACATTGTTTACCCACGTGTTTGGTATTTTTTGTAAAGAGTATTTTTTAATATATAAATTTACGAAGGAATTAATTTAAACTCTTATTAATTGCATAACGATTTGAAAATATTAAGACCAAAAAATTATTATATATCGAATAAACAAAATATTTAAATTGAATTGGATTTGAAGTGCAGATGAAGATGGTGGCGATGGAAACATCAATGTGGCAAAGTTTACAATATATTTAGAAACATTGATGTTATTATCATCATAATCTGGAATAATAAACTTTTATATTATGTTAATATTTATTTAGTTTTATTAAAAAAATAATTTGTTTTTATTGTTTTTTATATACATAAATCGATTAAACACTTATTTTTATATCAAAGATAATCGTTGCTTGCGATGTTTTTTCACATCGACTATGAATGTTTTCAGCAACGAAATCAATATATATAAAAAAATAAGCACTAGATAGTTTATTTTAGTAAATGTATATATTATCTTAGCAAAATATTGATCTCAAAATTATTTAAACGCATAAACGTTGCCAGTGTAACCCCATCATTTTCTTAACAAGATTCGCACGTGGTTGGAGGAATCGAAATTAATATAAAAAATATAAATAATAACGAAATTAATATAAGAACAGCTTAATAACCACATTGTTCATCGTCCATTTCGCTGCAATTGCAATACTTCACATCTGGGCCATTATCGGAGGCGAGATCTTCCTCGCTAATTGTCACACAGCGCACATTGGGAGGATATTTCTAAAAACAAACTTGATTTAGAATATACTAAGGATAATATTGAGTTAATAAACCAACCACTACGACAGCGGATATCCATCATCATCGGTAAGACCACTGTTATAGCAGCCATCGCCCATATTCTGCCGTGTGAGTATGTACTTGGTCAAACAGCAAAGTGTGATCTTAAAAAAAAAATAAATACCGTAATTGCAGGTGATCCTGTTACTCTGGGATATACTCACCAGAAACTTTAAAGCCAAAACCCAGAATCCCAGCAGGATATACAAGTAACTCCACACCGCCCGTCCAAACACCGGCAGACACCCATTCATATTGATAGAGTCCACAGTCAATTGCTTTTGCCGGCCGGTGACGAAGGTGTGACCCTTACCCGGTACGTAGTTAAAGCAGTTCTCGCAGGATCGCTTGCAGCATGTATAGGGTGCCAGGATCGAAAACGAACTGTTTGCATCCCGTCGCGGCATCCAATCTGCGTTCGCCCAATCCCTATAGGTATGAACGCCGCAGCACTCCTTGTCCCATTGCAAGCCATCCCAAAGGAGCTTCCACTCCGGAGACGAGTAGTACATATCTATTCCCCGAGCAAGAGCCGTCTCTGCTGCATTCTCCAGCACATCAACGCCCCGGTAAATGATCCATACGCACCGAAACCCGCTGCAATGATAACGCACGAGTAGAAGAGCCATACATCCAAGAGCAGGCGATATTGGGCGTGCAGCGGCGCTTCCATAGTCGCCGCCACATCAGAATGCTGCAGAGAAGATCACCGCCAACTGGGCACCGAACATGTACACCCAAACAGGTAGCCGTAGACCAGACGGCACTCGATCCCCGACAAGTAGCCCGTTAACAGCTTGTGGTAATAGCCAGTCGCCGCCAGGATAAACACACCGATCAAAGCCTCTGTTATCAACAGCAGGGTGATGTAGACGTGGGCTCGGCGGAAGGGCTGTTGCATTTGGTCATCGTCGTCAACATCGGCACAAAGTTTAGCTAGTCGTCCAACGTGTTCGCTCTAAATTCGAATCTCATTTGGATTGACGCTGATCGCACAGCCTCCCAATAAATTCAATCATCAAAAGGGGCTCCAAGTTACAATTTATGTCTGACTAGACATTAAATCATATCCTATTACCATATAACGATAATATATATGACCCAAAATATTGATACTCCATAATATTTTAAGCCAAATCTTCGAAGCAAGCTTTTTCTTAGTTTTATTTAAATCGTTAATGTTTAAATGACAAAGACACTTAATTAGAGTTAGTTTAAAACTTCTAATCGAATTGAGGCGATCAGTAGAATATTGTATTTGGTAAGCGCTAGCATATTACTAAGTTCAGTCTTCAATCAATCAGCGAATAATTTAGATTTGATCACCGGGAAAAGCTGAACTTAAGTACGCCAGAGAAGCAGTCCATACTGGGTCCAATCTTCTTCGCATCGATCTTGATTAGATTCACATTGTCCAGGCACCGTGAACTTTGGACTATCTCCTCCTTGATGTCACTATGACGGATCCATAGCTCTAGAGGCTGGCTGCGCCATCTCTGCTTGACCAGAATCCCGAGGCAGCTCCAACGAAGGCCTCTCCGTGGCATCGGGTACGTGTGATATCCAAGATTCTTAACTGCCGACAATTAATCACGAATTCCAACAGGCCCAAAGGACTTTCCAGCTGATAACCACACAGACGGAGCTCGCTTAACTCGGGAAGTTGACTGGCAAGTTGTCGCAGCATCCGATCCTCCAGGCACTGCAGCTGGCCGCCTTCCTCCTGCTCCACCTGACCATGTAGCTCCAACCGTTTCAGCTGACGAAGGTTACCTAGCTCACGGAAAAATCGTTCATGATCGTGTAGGATGCCGCTGAAGCGAAAGCCCTCGATGGGTCTGCCTGCTGCAGGTGGATTACTGGGACGCGCTATGCGTGACAGACATCGAAGACAAAGTTCTTGGAGTATATCGACAACTTTTGAAGACGTGGCAGGCGTAGGAGCTGCTGCGTAATATCAGACTCCATACACAGATGATAATCGGCAATTTTAATGTGCTCCAATGTCGGACACAGATTTAAGTCAGCAAGATCACAGCAGTTCACCTCATCGCAATCCTCCATAATATCAAATTGCGCAGGCGCAGCTGCCGAAAAGATCTCTGAAGTGCTGCGACTCCAGAAACTGGCAGTCATCCAGGCAGAGTTCGTTGAGAAACTCCAGATCGCACAGGTACTTTCCAGTGATTTGGCAGCTCCTTAGCTTGAGCCTTCTTAAATTGGGAAATACTCGTCGTAGCAGTCGCACATCCTCGTCCACGAAGCGAACACGTCCCCGTCGATTCCCATCGCCCAGCCACTCCAGTGAGGTGATCCCCTCCAAGGTGTGGCTGCTCAGGACTCGCAGACGACGAACATCCAACTGCTGGCAGCTCAGACGTTGCATGTATGGAGCCAAGGCGAGGATAAAGGCCAAAAACTGCCGAGAGTTGGGTGCAGATCGACGGAACATCTCATCCTGGAGGGCAACACTGCGAACCCGGGTCCTCCAGAGCATTTGGACTATACTCTCCAAGCGACGATTCATTCTACCGATCTCATATTGCTGGTAAACATTTACTTGTCGAACGATTAAAGCCAAGACATCGTCATTTAGTTGCAGGAGTGAAGCTGCTGCAGTAGATCCTGCTAGAAGTAAACTGTTAAATGCTTTCAAGGCTATTCCGCGGACTCATTCCTTACCTGTATTTGCGGTTGACGTCATCTGTGTTGTGCTCTCGAAGGCGGTGTTTGGAATACTAACGAAACTGCGCCGTTGCCATGGCCAGATGATCTCTACCTACAAAGTCCGAAGGTCATTTAGGGGTGGTTTTCCAGGCAAAACAGGCGGAATTTGCGCTACCTAAACTCTGCCCTTTATCCCTTTAGGGATGGTCAAGCCAAAGCGATATTTTTACGATTATTTAAATGTTAAATTTGCAAAATAATGTAAAATAATTCTTTGAAACTCTAGAACCAAGGGAATGTATGTTTACCGACATTGTATAGAAACCTCCTGCAGGTTATGCAACTAATCCCATTTTATATTTTAACTAACTAAAAGATGTACCTAAAAAGTTTATAAAATATATATAAAATAAGTATTTAAAAAACATTGTTGTTATGCTTATGCTGCGCGTTGTTTGCTGCTCATTTATTTGTTTTTGTTTAGTGCTTACTACGTCATCAATTTTAATTACATTTACTCGTAACTTGTACAATATATACTATATATAATATATGTATATATATATATGTATATATATATTTATATGCATTTCATTTGTTGTCCAATTTCTGTCGTATAGGCATATATTGTAGGTATATATAGTGTTGTATTGTATCTGATTTATAGTACATTATTGTTTCTATTTAGTATTGTTACTGTTTGTTGCTTTTCTTTAATGTTAATGTTAATTGTGGGGCACTCTAAGCGTTTTCTTCAGCTTAATCCTGTCACACGTCCTTATCGTCCGTCGCTGCGTTTAGGAAACATATTCAGGGCTCTCCCAGCGTATTGTGGTTTCATTATTATTTTATAGTTAATATTTAATACGTCTGTCTGTCTGTGATAGAGTGTTGGTGTGTTGTGGCGTGGGCGAAGGGAAGAAAGTTACTTCTATTCTCACATTATGCAACTATGCAACTTATAAATTATATATTTCCGCCGTGGTTTAAATATTGCAACACAAGTGAATTTCTTCCTTCCTTCTTGTTACTTAAAATTGCCATTTTTGCATACTCTACACATACATATCCGTTATATATTAGTTAATAATCGTACAATAATATATATCTCTATATGCATTCATTATATACTGCGCTCTATACACATCACAAAAATCCAAAAACACCGAAAACTAACACGGATAAACAGCTACATAATTATAGACTTGTGTGTTGTGTGTTTGAGATTTCCCAAAAATATAAATTTCGAGTAAAGCATAATGAGTTGGTGTTTTGTTTTCATTTTTTTTACAATTTTAAATTGTTCCCTGCATTCTGAGTGTAATTAAAACATTCACTTTGCTGCCAATTTGACGTAATAAATTAAGATTATGATTAAGATTAGATTAGGTGAAATAAAAAACCAAGTGGCGTCTTTAAATGGTCAAAACAAACAGTTTTACATTTTCCGTTTATTCGTGTAAAGTTACAATTTGTTAAATTAAATTAAACTTGTATTTTAAGCATTTAATTCTTCGACAATTAAATGTTATTAAAATGTTTTATTCAAAAGGAAGCATAATGTGTCTGTGGGTGTCATGTCTGACTGTCTGTCGGTCGGTCGATCGTCTCATTGTTTGTTTTTTTCTTCGTTAACTTATTAAACATTGTTGACTCATCTTTAATATATTGTTTTATATTCTTCTTGTCCATATTTTTCGTGTTAATTGTATTTATTTGTGGTTGTAAAATTTAAAGCAGATATGTTGTTGCTTGTGGCGCTTGTTGGGGCGTGTCTTGCATTTCGTTAATTACTTTCATTACGGCTTCAACTTGTTCTTCTTGATGTTTCTGGTTGTTGCTGTTTTCAACATAAGCACAGTTTAGGGGTTATAATTAATTTTAGAGTTGTGCCTAGTCGTATATATATTTATATATGTATGGGTTGTTGTTGTTGTTTGTTAACTTTAATAGTGGGGTAATAACTTGTTGTTATAGGTTTTAGTATCCATATATCGTAATCGTACTTGTAATTGTAATCATAATGATTGGGCGGCACCGGCACGCCCAACTAAAAACTACTCGCTCGACTTCACTCCTACTCCTGTTTCTACTCATCATCGCGATCTACGTTCTCAATTATTACTTTTAGTAGTTCAACTAACATTAAATATAATAATTTGTTGTGTGTTTTTTTAATCCATCTCATCTCTCATTATCTCGTTAGTTGTGGTTGCTGTTGACTTAGCCTAGGCTTCCTCCTTTTCCAACTGTCATATCTATATAATAATATATATCGCCTGATCGACACTGATCGATTTTTCATTATCATCCGCTCTAAACTGGGTTAATAATATGTGTAAAAGTGATCGCACTTGTCTCCTTGGAAAATGCAAAACTAATACAATTGTGATAATTTTCAATAAATTTCCAAGGGTCTTCTTCTTGTTGTTGTTGCGTGTGTTATTTACAAACTATAAAGTATATATATATATATAATCGTATGCCTATGCATATCTGCATATGTTTATGTTTATGATGAGGATGCTTTCTATGAATGTCGCTCCGTTTATGGATGTTATATATCTTAACTTAGTCAAAAACACAATAAAAATACAAGATGAAGCGCTTCTCGCTGGTTACGACACACGCCCTCGCCCTAAAGTGTTGCTTAAAATGTCTAGCGAGAAGAGTGGCCTTTAGCACAGCTAAAAAATTCAACTCTACGCGGCGCCGCCTGGCACACACATTTCAGAAATGTTGAAAATACGTGAATAAAAAATTGAACGCTAAGCGCCCAAAAGCATTAAAAATACAGAGAGAGATAGATGGGAAGATACCAAGAACAAACTATGAGATGATTCGTATTGCACGTTAAAGCTGGCGGCGTCAGACTAGTAGAGTAGTGTTTTGCGAAATGAGGAAGATGGCTCAATGCTGAGCCGGCATTGCTTCTGGGATAGTCTGTATAGGACTTTCTGGGGCGCTTGGATTTTTAAGCCTGCTAAATTGAATTCTATAGTGCCTTCACTGAGATATCAAATCATGAAATCCGAATCAAACTGACAGAAACGCAAGAATCTCCTCACAGGGGAATTTTTACCTCGCAGCCCGCTTAATTCATGTTAGTTCAAAGCTTTGCTTACGATTAGAAATTGTTTAAAGTTTAAAAGATAATGGTAGTTATAGAAACCTTTAGAAAATCAATACATTTTTAGTTTACAAATATGAATAAATTGAATATTCATTAGATAATATTACAATCAGCTCATTGATTACTTTACATCGCCTATTTGATAAAATGTTGTGTTTAATTTACAATTGTAATTGAATAAATCCTAAAAATTGTTTCAGATTGCACTTAATGATTGGAAAATTGCCACTTTCATTAGTAATTAAAAATCAAGGCACCCCAGAAGACCCCTCTGAATGCTTCGTTTTTACATCTGGGCCATAGATCAGCGTAACCAGCGCGCTGCTAAAAACTATTGTACATACAACTAGCTGCTTATATGGGGGGTGCTTGTTATGGTTTGTGTGTCCTATATAGAGATGTCGTTTCAGCCCGGCTCACCAACTAGCCCACTGGCTCACTGGTTGGCCAATCTCACCACGCCGCTTGCGTCGATGCTGCAACGGCGGCAGCCGCCGTGGTGGCGGCAATAGAGGTGCTGGTGGTGCTGCTGGAGTGGGCTGTGGTGGGTGTGTAGCCGTGCAGGAGGGGCTACTGTTAGTAAACAACCGGATGTTGCTCCACGTTCGCTGGCAGATGCTGCAGCTGCATGGCGGCGCGGGCCAAAGCACTGGGATCACTTATCAAGGCGATGGGCACTCCTGGTGGCGGCTGTTGTTGCGGAGGCGGCGCCTGGCCCGGATGCTGTGCTGCTGATGGTGTTGTTGCTGCTGTTGTTGTTGTTGCTGCTGCTGTTGCTGATGTTGCTGCTGCTGCTGTTGACGATGCTGCTCCTGCTGATGATGGTGAGCAGCCTGTTGGATGGACAACTGCAGCAATTGCTGTTGCTGCTGCAACTGTTGTTGCTGCTGCTGATGGGCAGCCACTGCAGCCTGTTGCTGATGTTGTGCCGCCACTTGCTGCTGGTGCTGCTGATGTGCAGCTGCCGCCTGTTGCTGGGCAGCCTGCTGCTGAGCCGCTGCTGCTGCGGCGGCCTGTTGCTGTGCCGCTGCAGCGGCGGCTGCCTGTTGCTTTTGCGACTGCTGTTGGGCGGCGGCATTGTGCGAGATGAGCGTTGAGGTGACCAGGGGCACCAGGCCCGGCGTTAGCTGCACGGCACCGGCACCGCCCGCCGCACCAGCGGTTATCTGCTGGATGGTGTGCATCGTGGTGGTCGCCGAGTGGTGGGGAACTGAAACGGTAGGAGGGCCGGATAAGTTGAACGACTTGGGCACGGGGAGAAGACTCGCTTGCGCTAGCGCAGTCGTGTTTGCCGACTCACTTATGATCGGTTTCACTTCCTGCTTGACTTGCGTCAGCACACCAGCCGGTATTTGCGGATGCGGATGCACGGGTGGTGGCGGCATCATAGCATCCGGGTGATTCATCTTCATGTGGCGCTTCAAATTGCCGCGCTCGACGAACGCCTTGCTGCACAGAGTGCACGCGTGCGGTTTCTCGCCCGAATGGGAGCGCATATGCGAGACCAAGTGACCTGCGAAACGGACAATGGAAGCGACATGAAGATCTGATCGTCGGGGGGTTTGTTGGATCTCGAATTTCGAAAACGGCTCGGGTAAGTTTTTGTTTATTAATTTATATTTTTGGTTTTTGTGGGGGGTCGCTCTCACAGTCGCTGTCTGCTGCTTTCAAATTTGATTACGGGTTGAGTCTGGTCAGGTTTTGGGTTCAAAGAACGCACTAAATATTCGTGAAGTAATTAATTCAATATTAACTCAATTTTGTTGCTGTAAAAATATATCAAACTTATTGAATAATATCGTATTTGATACAATTAAATAAAAATTAAAATTGATTCAAGGTCAAATTATAAATCTATCAGATACTTTAATGTACAGGAATGTCATAGAAATTAATGGATATTTAAAATTACTATAAAATATATTGCAAAAACAAATCGGAAATCATAATTAGACCAAAAAACAATAGTTAATTTTACTTTCTGACTAAACGTAACCCATGTTATGGTATCTATGCCTGTGAGAACGAGCCCCACACAACAGCAACTGGAAGGAAGGGCAGGATGGGAATGGGCTAAAAGGGAGGGTCATTTTTAGAGCTGGAGCTGGGGCTGGGACACTATGCTGACGCCACGCCACGCGTGCCTCCACTGGATGCATGCAAACGTTTAGCAGCAATCATAGCAGATCTCACTCACCTTTGCAGATGAAATTCTTGGGACACTTCTCGCAGGCAAAGGGCCTCTCCATCTCCTGACCCTTGGTGTGGCTGCGCTGATGGAAGAGCAGGTTACCCTTGAGGGGGAACGATTTGCCGCATGTCTCGCAGGTGAAGGGCCGATCGCCGGTGTGGCAGCGCGACATATGATTGATCAGGTGCTCCTTGCGCGTGAACGGCTTATTGCAGACATTGCAGCAATGCGGATTGTCGCTTGAATGCTGACGCATATGGTTGTTGAGATGCTCCTTCCGCGTGAACGTCTTCTGGCAGTACTCGCACTTGTGGGGCGAGTCGCCCGTATGGAGGCGCACATGGTTCGTCAGGTGCTCCTTCCGCGTGAACGTCTTCTTGCAGTAGGAGCAGCGATGCGGGGAGTCGCCCGTGTGCTGGCGCACATGGTTCGTCAGGTGCTCCTTGCGCGTAAACGTCTTGGTGCAGTATGTGCACTTGTGCGGCGATTCGCCTGTATGTTGCCGTACATGATTAACCATGTGATCTTTGCGCGTGAACGCTTTCGTGCAGTACGTGCACTTGAACGGTGTCTCACCCGTGTGCTGGCGTATGTGGTTGACCAGATGCTCCTTGCGCGTGAACGTCTTCATGCAGTAGGAGCAGCGGTGTGGCGACTCTCCCGTGTGCTGGCGCACGTGATTAAGCAAATGCTCCTTGCGCGTAAACGTCTTGGAGCAGAAGTCGCACCGATGCGGCGTCTCGCCTGCTTGCGTGGCAAATGTGTGGGTGTCGCGCACGGATGGGACAAGAAAACATTTAGAGATTAGTAATCATTGCCATCGGTTAATTATGGTATGTTTGAAGCTGTGTAATTAGAGGATCACAGGGCAATATTATTGGCATTTGGCTTTGGTGCTTGCATCGATGATGAAAATAATATAACCATAGATTATAAAGAAATTAAGTGGTTTCCTTGATAAAAACGTCATTCAAAAAGAAGTATTTGTATTAGTTAATTGAGAATATTCATTATTAATTGAAGACTGCATCAAAATTTGGCTGTTATCTAATTTATTTTGAGAGTTCGTCATCGCTGCTCGTGCACTGGCTGCCACCGCCGCCAAGTGTCTTTTTGTGTCAGTTTATTTTTCAATGTGTTCATGTGGACTGAAGCTGGAGAGGATCGGTTACGGATTTGGGAGAAATCAGGGAATCGGAATGGGTATAACCGATTCGTTTTGTCTCTTTACCTGTGTGCCAGAGTATGTGATTGGTGAAGTGCTCCTTGCGGCTAAAGCTCTTGCCGCAGATCTCGCAACGGAACGGCGTCTCGTTGGTGTGGGAGCGCATATGGTTGGCTAGGTGCTCCTTGCGCGTATATTTCTTGCCGCAGACATCACACTGGTGTGGCGTTTGACCTGGATATTTTATTTCATTTTTTTTTTTTTTGGGAGAGGGCAGAGAGCAGAACAAAACGGAATTGTTGTATAAAGGAGGAATGACGTTTGATCTCGTTCGACAAGACAAAATCGCATTCGCATTAGCAGCGCAAGCATATTTTATTCTTTCCTCGACCCTCACTGGCTTTCCCCAGGGTATCCCAGGGAAAACTAGTGTTAAGTCGAAGAAAAAACAAAAAGGTTTTCAAAATAATCCCGACCCATATCCGCGCACCGCTCAGTGTTTTTCTTTTTTTTTTGTGGTTTTTTCGTGGTGATTGAGGTGGCTGCGTGAATGGGTGGGTATCTTTTTAAATGTATTTTCATATTAAATGCTTCATTTTCTTAGCTTTTCTGTAATTATAATTTTTTTTTGTTTGGTGTGAAACTGGCCGTGGCTTGCGTTGTTGTGGTTTCGAACGAACGAAGCGAACGGAGGCTGCTGGCTCGGGCATATGGACGTGGGCGTGGTGGTGGTGGTGTCAGATGTGGATTGTATGTGGTGTGGATGATGTTCATTGGATGTGTTGGTGTATGTTGTGATGTGATGTGATGTGTGGTGTGTGCCTGTCAACTCTGCTTCTACTCAATGCTGATCTTCAGGATGCTTTTTTGCTTAGATATTTTATATATTTTTTGCATAGAACGTTTAGTTCCTGGAGAAGACTGATTCGCCGAAAAGCTTTAGGAATATTATTCTGGATCCCTATATAGCAGGTGAGCTGGACTGTGTGTGTTGGTGTTGTTGTTGTTGTTGTTGTTGTGTTGTGTATTCCAATTGCTTTGTGTGTGTGCTTTAAGTGTGTTAATGTCGCAGTTACACAGAGACGTTGGCAATCGACAAGCAGCAACAACGAACTTTTCTTAATCTTTATGTTTAATTTTTTTTACTTTTCATATATCATTTTTGGGCACCCTGTTCGACAGCAGAGAGCGTAGACAAAGTTATACAGGCACTAAATAGATATATATATATATCTCGAATTGGGAGTGAAGGATTGGACTTGGACTTGGACCTGGACGTGGACGTAGTGGAGTGGTGGAGTGGAACGAGCACTGGATGATGTGTTTTTGGTGGTGCATGAATTGGAGTTAATTTTTTTTGTTTTGTAGTCGGTGAAGTTGTTTTTTTTTTTGGGAATGTGTGATGCGGAGATCATGGTTGGGGGGAAATGGAGCGGTATGAGCGAGTGAGCGTGTTTTCTTTTGGTTTTTTTGTTTGTTTTGTAGCGGGATTAATGCGCGAATGCAATGGAGATGCACTCGCTTCAAGCGTTAGTTTTGCACAGAGAAAAAGTCAGAACAATATGGGTTGTTTCTGCTAGATTTAAGATTCTAACACAAATATTAGGAGGCCAAAAAGTATGCAATGTTGTTGAACAATTCAAGTAATACATATAGATAAATAAATTATTGATTTAAGTGCCTTACACGCAACTGAATCGACATGAATAAAAATATTAAAGTTTTGATTAGAGTCCAATATAAAATCTATTATATTGGAACAGGTAATACTTTTGACCGAAAAAAAATGATGGGGAAATGACTTCTTGATTAATGGAATATTATAATAATAAGGCACATGATTTTGATCTATAAAATACTAATTATCACATTAACAAGCTTTTTTTCAATTACCAATCTAAGACAACCATTATTTTTTTTCTCTCTGTGGGGAGTACAGTGGGCGGGACTGTGGGAGTTGGGCGGTTGGAATAAGCACAAGCGATGAGTGAGATAGAAGCGTATGAGAGATATAGATATAGACAGTTAGGGAGGGAGTAGACAGACGTAGGACGCACGATGAAGTCTATATATAATTAAATTTTTTTGCGGTGCTTTTTGTCAATTCATTTTTTTTTTGGTTGGTTGATTTTGATTTGGTTCTTTGGTTGGTTTTGGTTTGGTTGGTGTGATGTGGTGATGGCTGTTGTTGTTGTTCTTGTACTCTATGGATTTGAATTTGGTCTGACTGGAGTTGGTCTTGGGTTTTTTTTTTTTTTTTTTTTGGTTCTAAGAGATTGATTCTGATTCTGATCTGTCTTTTCTGTTCTTGTTCTTGTTCTTGTTCTGGTTGTATTTAATTTTTATTTTTTGTTTTGTGGCGCTCGCCGCTCGCATTGTCCGCCCCCACCAATCAATCACACTCACCAGTGTGCCACATGTAGTGGTTAACATAGTGTTCCTTGCGCGTAAAGGACTTCTTACAAATATCGCAACGATGTGGCGTCTCACCCGTGTGTTTGCGCACATGGTTCACCATGTGCTCCTTGCGCGTAAACGTCTTGGCGCAGTACTGGCAACGGAAGGGCGTTTCGCCCGTATGCGAACGAAAGTGATTGTCCAGATGCTCTTTGCGGGCAAAGGTCTTTTGGCAAATGGTGCAGGCGAACGGTTTGTCCGTCGAGTGCCGTTTCATGTGCCGCTCCAGGCTCGTATTATTCGCGAAAACATTGAAGCACACGATGCAGGTGAACATGGGCCCGCCAATGTGAATCTTGCCGTGGCGGGTCAAATCCTGTGACGTTGTGAAGCCCTGGCCACACACCTGGCACATGAACGGTTTCCGTTCGCTGTGGTAGCGCCGGTGCACGATCAGCTGGTACCGGAACTGGAACATCTTGCCGCAAATGTCGCAGACGTGCGTCCCCGTCGCAATTGGCGTACCGTCCGGCGCCAGCGCCACGTTCTGCCCGCCGTTGCCGCCGCCGCCATTGCCGCTGCCGTCCACGCCATGAATGCCGCCCTCCATTTTAGGCATAAGCAACTCACCCGCCGTGGTCGTGGTGCCCCCACTGGTGGTGCTCCCGCCGCTGCTGGCCGTCGAGCTGCTGGTCGTCGTTACCGTCACCTGCTGGCCCCCATTGCCGCTGGTGGCCGGCGGTAATCCTCCACCGCCGCCCGCTGCCGATGCAGCCGCTGCTGCTGCCGCCGCCGCATTGGCGGAGGCCATCACTGCCGCCACAGCGGCATTATTTGTAGATGCCGCTGCGGCCGCTGCTGCCGCACTGGCCGCATGACTAGTGGCCTGCGGGGAAGGGGCGGCGGTGGTGGCAGCTGGCCTCCATGGGCCGCCGCCAATTGATGATTCACAACATCGCCATGGATCTTGCCAAAGACCTCGTGATAGGTAAAGAGCTGAGAGATGTCCTCGATGTTCACCTTGTACATCTCAATGCCGTGCGGCGGCTTGCCATCCTCCTTGTGCTCCGATTTGGGGAGCGGTGGTGGGCCGCCCAAGGTGATCGTCGTCCCACCAGTGGTCACAACGGGAGCTACAACTGATGGCACTGAGCTGGCAGCGCTCACGTGCTGCATTCTTGTGTCCAGATCCGGGCGATCGTTGTGGCGCTTCGCTGTAGCCGCCGCGTCTTCTCAATATTTATCTTAATGTTTTCTGTGTGTGTTCTTTTTGGGGAGACAAATTTGTAGATTTGTTGGTTGGTTGTTTTGTTGTTAGTTGGGGATTCTTGTTGATGATGGCTGTTGTTATTGTTGCTGCTGTTCTTGGTTGTATTTCGTGTGTGGTTGTTGTTGTTGCTGCTGCTGCCGCTGCTGTGGAGCGCCTACATATTGATGTTATTGCTGCTGTCGACTGCTTTCGCTGAGCGTGGCTACAACAAACAAAACAGGCAAGTGGAAGGTGGAAAGGTGGTGTCACTCTTAATCTCTGACTGCGTTCAGGTATATATATATCTTGGTATTGGTATTATTCAATCGACGTTGACGTGGGACAATTACCATGAAGTTGCTGCTGTTACAGATGCTGCACGTTGCCGTTTGGGGGATGATGATGATCCTTGGACAGTCAATTTCAATGGGTGTTCCACCTGAAAAATAAAACTATTAGTAAGTGAATCTATTGGATTAAATGGTTGCTTATTAAGGGTAATGGAAGGAATTATTACAGTTAATATAAGATACTTAAAGATTCCTTTTCATCATAATCAGGATTCCTTCAAACTAAGGTTGAAGGATGTGAGTTTAACACGTTCTTAATTTCCTTTATGAGACCATTAACCCTTAAAATAATGCAATAGTCATATGCAGATGTATCTATTTGTATGTACATTATGCAAGTACAGTTACAATTCCCTTACACACACTTGTACACTCCTACACAGCATACAATCGTCGGCCAGGACTAATTCATGTAAAAAGATGTTGGGCAGCTCAGCGCTTTATTGATTTTGCTGCCGGGCATTAAAAGTGATATAAATTGCCCATTAGCGAACCGCAGGCCCCCCCCCCCATTTCCACACCCTGCCCCAAACACACACACACCCATATTGCTATGTCTTCATCAGCAGCAGCAGCAGCAGAAAGAGGAGCAGAATGAGGAGGTAGAAGAGGCGGAAGAAGGAGAGCCAGGCAGCACAATGAAATAACTTTATATAAATTGTAAATGGCAAAAGGCAGCAGCAAAACGAATGACAAGGGACACAAAAAAGGGAGTGGAGCTGGGATATGAGGCAGAGAATAACCGAGGGAGGGGCAGGATCCAGGATTTAGATATCCAATCAGAGTATGCAAGCGTTTTGATAGAAACACCGAGAGACAGAGAGAGAGCGAGTGAGCTCGAAGAGAGGGGCAAACGAGCCAGAGAGACTGGGGGAGCCGATGTAAATATCAAGAAGTACAAATCGATTAAAGACAACGCGTAAGTGTGTGCGTTGGTGTGAGTGTAAGAAAAACTGAGCTGCGAATTAAAGATGGAGATGGACAATAGAGAGAGAGAGGGGCAGCAGTTGAGGGAAAGCGCGCATGAGCGGGAGAAGAGGGGAGTGTTTGCATAGGTCCTGGTTTTGTCCCTTTTCCTAAGCGATTTACAGTTACAGCTTACAGCTAAGCACCACGCTCTCACTCTTTCGCCTCTCTCTTGCCTCTTCTTCGGCGCAAATAATTCAGCAAGCACACACAGTGATGAGAGATGAGAGCGGAGCGGGAGAAAAGGACACTGAAAAGGGCGCCACTTTTAATGTGGTGAGGTAGGAATTACTATGTGTGTGCAAATACATATCTCTTCTGCACGCACTTGTGTGTTTTGAGTGCTGGTGTGAGTGGAGCCCGGGCAACAGAAAAAACTATGAAAAAGTGGGCGGGTTCAGCATGTAAAATGCTGATGAAGCCAAGCACAAAACACAAGACAAATGGCCCAATCTACGAATAGGGTGCTCCACCCATCCCCCACTCAAACTACCGCCCTCCAATTAAGTAACTGTAACACTACCAGCATAGCTATGTATATAGCAAATAAAATAATGTATGGCAAACCGCAAACTTAACTCATAACGAAGGCTTCAATTTCTAAAAGGGAATTTTCATTTTTTGTATTTTTAACTATACTCAAGGTTTAGGATGTATGAATAAACAATAAGGCTATGAATGAATGAATTCGAATTATATCCAAATAAACATTAAAATAAAATATAAAATTAAAGCGCATCCAATTAAAAAATAAGGCACTCTAAGCTTTATGTGTCCTAAGACCTCTTTATAACATTTTAGAAAATTATAAATCAATCAATAAAACAAAAAATGTGATATTTATTCAATAGGGTTTCCCCAATCTGAACAATCATAGCAAAAATCCTTAAACATTTTAATACATATGCAGTCTATTTTTGGGTACACACAAAATAAATTCGGCAAAGATTCTGTAATTTTTACACGATGAGATGCACCCACTATATCAATCCAATCTAAGATTAATTTATTTTTGTTTTGAAAATTTTAATAAGCTTTAAAATAATGCATGTAAACATAAAAATCTTACATCTTTATTAAAAGACGTTCATATTTTATTGTGAGCTGTGTAAATACTATCAATAATTATTGTAGTAATAATTATAATAATAATTCTTAACTTCTTTTTAACAATCTACATACTGATTTTTATAATAAATAAATAACAATATTATAAATATAAATAAAGGGTCACAATGAAATTCAATAACACAATATAGATTATGACCTGTACCCCACCTTTCCTAAAGAGCAATTAATGAACTAATACAGATGTCCCTTTATTGTATTTTAATAGGTTTATGTATAGTATGTATGTATATAATTATTATTAATACACATAGATTTTAGAGAAATAGAAGCATTCTACTTTGCCGTAAAGATTATAAACTATTGGAAAAAAACGAAATATAAAAACAAAGAATTGGCCATATGGCATAATAATTTATATTCCATGTAATAATTGGGGTTGAATAACCCCTTTTCTGGTTTTCTGGCCAAACAAACAAACAAAGTCACCCTGTATGTGCGGATGCGAGATGTGAAAGCAATTGAAATCACTTCACTTACCTCATGTAGCGTTCTTTTTGGCCCGATTATTGCTCGCCAGGAGCGGACTTGAAGATATATTTATCCGGCAGATATATATGCAGATATCATCACCTGCAAGCAGAGACAACGTTGAGACATGGCAACAATCATAATAATAACCAGCGAGAGCAACAGTTTGTTTGCGGTGTTTATGTTTACGCGAAATATTCAAACGGCCCGCGGTACAGTCTTCCCCGTTTCCCTTTTCATCCACTTCCACACTCTCACAGACACATTCATGCGGGCGGCAGAACGGACAGGGGGCAAAAGCAAATCAAGCGAAAATTTATTTGCAGTCAATATATGCAAAAGTCACACACACACAAAGTAACGAAAGCTGCGTCTGCGTCGAAAACAGAGCAAAAATGGAAGACTGAATAGGAATATTCTAACTCTAATTGGAAGGGGAACGGGAATTGGAATCGAAAAATTGGATGGGGGCAGTGCGAATTTTACATTTCCAACTATTCCAACTAAGAAATCAAATTAATTGTATCTATATCTAGACGGGAGCTGTATGTGCGTGCATCGTTCTCGCCTGCTCTTCTCGTCTCGTCTTGTCTTCTAGAATCTAGACGGGGGGCTCTTCGGCTGCTACGCCTCTTCCCCTGCTTCCTCGCTCTTCTTGCTTTGCTTTTGGCTGCCAGCAGGGAAAAAAAGTTGTATCTTTCTTGCTTTTCCACCGCCGCCTCCTTCTCCTCTGCTTTGCTCCCTTGCCCACTGCTTTTCGTGCACTTTTGTACTCGGTTTTGCTTTATTTTGTTGTTCTCGTTTCGCTCTCCTCTCTCGCTCTCTTTTTGCCTTACATTGTCTCTCATTATTCATTGAACGACAACGCCGTGCCCCATCCCGCCCCGTCCCCCATTCCAACTAGCACACTCTTCCAACCCAACCGACGTTTTGCACGAACGACGCTACGTACAATTCCCAACCGCCTAAAGCGGAAAACCAATAAAAACGAATTGAATCGCAAAGCGTAAGTAAAAATAAAGCGAAGCGAGACAAAAAACGAAAGCTGAGAGCGCTGCCAGCAAGTGAGAGGGAGAGAGAAAGAGCGCGCGCGACGAACAGCGTAAGAGAGGAGAGAGGAAAGAAGCTAGTACAGGCGGCGCGTCGATACAAGTTTTGCTTTTTGGCTCACATTCTATATGCCGAGATCCGAAACTCGAGTTATAGTTATAATTATTGCCGCCGCTGCTTGGCTTTTTATTTTTAATTTTGTTTGGTTGTCGCTCACATTTTTCGGGCGAGAGAGCGGCGAACGAGAGGACACGGAGGCAGAGATGGCGGTGGAAGGAGGAGGAGGAGGTTCGAGCCGAGAGACACATTTTCATTACAGCCAATTAGTGTGCATTTCATAATTGTTTAACAAAACAGAGCAGGTTAAACAATAAGAAAAGCCAAATGGAAACCGGAGTGGAAAGTCCAATCCGGCTTATTTTTGTTCTAACCATATGGCAGCGCAGAGTTTACATCCGTAGCGGTACTTTGCAGTTGCATATTATGTTGTCGATCGTTTAATGTGGTAATGCTAATAAATTTTAGAAAAAATGCAACCCTGCGCCTCCTCCCTGCCACCGCCTTGCAAACAAGAATGACTCGATGATGACGTTAATGGGAACTCTGTGGCTGTGGATGTGCGCAGCTCACACACACACACACCAGCGACGCGCTCGCACTCACTCACTCTCACACACCAACACAGGGGCAGTAAAGTCGACCGCAAAGTCATTTGATTAATATTTCTCGCATTCTTTTTCGCCTGCGAATTTCACAAATAAACACAATTGTTTCCAATCAGCCCCGGCATCCCCTCCCCATCCCCTGGGGGTCCATAGCACGCCCCCACACACTCGCACTGCAGTTTTTATAAGCGCTGAAAGTACGGTTCTTGTGACGCCAGTATATGAAAATTTACTTGATATTGCAATGGTGGTGGTAACAGCGGGCACACACTCTCCGCTGACTGTGTGCGAGTGTGTGCAACAGTAGTGGAAAAATCAGAATCGAAACGCCGCGCGGGTGAGAGAGGCGGTGGTGAACGGTGTACAGTACAAAATTGAATGAGACGCGGAGGCAGCAGAAGGCAAAAGCAGGCAAAAGCGAGCGATGTAAAAGTTCTTCGTGCCGCGCGCTCGGGTGGCAGCCGAAAGCACAAGTTTGTAGGAGAGCCAATGCAGCCGGTTTGGCGGGATTTACTTTGGGCCATTTATTGGTTGTTGTTGTTCTATTATCCAGTTTATTTTTGATCACATTCACTATTTGTTTTATAATCTTTATAATCTACTTGGATTTTTACTTGCTAATTAGCTTAGAGTCACCAATATAGCGGAAAAGAGTAGCAGTGAATGAAATTTATTAAGTGTAAGATTCTGTATACAGCAATTCTTAAATTTAAATAAAATACCTTTAAAACATAATATTTAAAGAACAAGCTCAACTATGTATAGTTCTAAGACGATAAAGTTAATTACATTCATTCGATGATATATTATTTGTAGTAAAGTAATTGTTATTACTTCCTCACGCTAGGAATAGCTATATTTCAGCCAGAACCCAGGCAGTACTGCACTGGTAAGAGGTGTGGAGGCAGCGACAGAGTTGAATAGAGAGAGAGAGAGAGCGGCAACGAGAGACCCGCAAGATACAGATACAATGCGTGCTAGAGGCCTGCTTACGTGTGTGTGTGCGCGAGATTGCGTTGTTCTTATTAACGACTCGCTGCCTTCTCTTCTCTTCACCCAGCTTTCTGCTGCTTTTTCGGGGCTTGGGCATAAAAAGGCGGCAAAATTTGTTAAGCACAAATATGGCCGGGTCCAACTGGCCAATTTGAATGCAGGATTTGCACGTCCCAATTGTACTCACCCGCCGGTTTGGTTAGTTTTAATCCACAAGATACAATATACAGCTACTACAGCTACCACTCCTTTTTATTGGTCGGTGCAGCAGCGTCCCAGACGCCTTTCCTGTATCACTTAATGGCGGACGCTCTGCGTTTTCCGCTTATTGCTTATCACACCCAACTATTCACTAATTGCATTTCGCGCACTGTATGCCAATAGTTGGCTTAATAATTGGTTTTGGTTTCTGTATTTCTTAACATTTAGCACGGATCCAGAGTTTGTAGTTGTAGTTGCGAGAGGAAGAGTAAGAGAAGTGAGGCGAATGTATGCAGAGTTGCCAGATGCGAAAAGAGTTTCTACGGCGGGTTGGCAGCCCCACAATGCATATAGAGATGACGATAGCGAACAGCTATCGAATGTATTTGAAAAACAAGAAAGAATGTTAACTTCGGCACGCCGCAGTTTGTTTACCCTTGCAGATTGCATTTTGATCACTAGGCATTAATAGAATTTAAATTAAATACTTATGAATGCAAAAAAAAGAAATCAAAGGTATTCGTATTTTTATTATATTTAGCTATAAATATTATAATTTCAATTCAAGTTTAAGATTTATGTTGTCGTATTTTCCTCTATATCTAATATATGTATCTCTATATATCGTTTGTATTGCAGCTATATATATCGTCAGATTTTTATTTTATAAAATCAATATTCTAAAAAAATACAAAATTCGTCTATTAAAAATAGGTAAAATATGTTTGAAAAACATCAAAATTCTAATGATTGCTATATTAACGTTCCAAATAATTATATGACAGCTATATAATATAGTTTTCCGATTTTCATAAAATTAAAACCGGTATTCTCCAAAAAACGCGTATTTTGTATATTACAAAAATGTAAAAAATGTTTGAAAAACAGCGAAATTAAATTTTTGCTATATTAACTCCTCAAATATTTATATGGCAGCTATATAATATTGTTTTCCGATTTTCATAAAATTAAAACCGATATTCACAAAAAAACACAATTTTCGTATATTGCAAAAAATGTAAATATGTTTTTGAAAAACAGCGTAATTCTAATTTTTGTTATATTAACTTTCTTAAATAATTATATGGCAGCTATATAATGTAGTTGTCTGATTTCATAAAATTAAAACCGATATTCTCCAAAAAATACAATTTTCGTATATTACAAAAAAGGTAAAAATATGTTTGAAAAACAGCGAAATTCTAATTTTTGCTATATTAACTCCCCAAAATAATTATATGGCAGCTATATAATATTGTTTTCCGATTTTCATAAAATGTAAACCGATATTCTAAAAAAAAACACAAATTTCGTATATTACAAAAAATGTAAAAATATGTTTAAAAAACAGCGTAATTCCAATTTTTGCTATATTAACTCCCCAAAATAATTATATGGCAGCTGTATAATATTGTTTTCCGATTTTCATAAAATTAAAACCGATATTTACAAAAAAAAAACACAATTTTCGTATATTACAAAAAATGTTAATATGTGTTTGAAAAACAGCTAAATTCTAATTGTTGTACATTACCTCCAGAAAATAATTATATGATAGCTATATAATATTGTTTTCCGATTTTCATAAATTAAACGATATTCTACAAAAAATTCAATTTCGTATATTACAAAAAGGTAAAATATGTTTGAAAACAGCGAAATTCTAATTTTTGCTATATTAACTCCCAAAATAATTATATGGCAGCTATATAATATTGTTTTCCGATTTTCATAAAATTTAAACCGATATTCTCAAAAAAAACACAAATTTCGTATATTACAAAAAATGTAAAAAATATGTTTAAAAACAGCGTAATTCTAATTTTGCTATATTAACTCCCAAAATAATTATATAGCAGCTATATAATATTGTTTTCCGATTTTCATAAAATTAAAACCGATATTCACAAAAAAAACACAATTTTCGTATATTACAAAAAATGTTAATATGTGTTTGAAAAACAGCTAAATTCTAATTGTTGTACATTACCTCCAGAAAATAATTATATGACAGCTATATAATATTGTTTTCCGATTTTCATAAAATTAAAACGATATTCTACAAAAAATACAAAATTCGTATATTACAAATTTTAATTTTTGCTATATTAATTTCTCAAACATTTCTATGGCAGCTATATGATAAAGTCATCCGATCCGTCCTGTTCCGACATATATACGAGTTAGAGTTAATAGAAGACTAAATGCATTGTTCCATTCAGACGGTTTAAAAACTAAGAGACTAGATTGCCTAGAAACCGACAGACGGGAATGGCTAAATCGACTTGCCTGTTGATGCTGATTAACTTTATAGGGTCGGAAATGTCTCCTTCACTGCGTTACAAACCTCACCCAAATCCAAAAAAGGACAATTAGCTTTGGAGACCAAGATATGTATATTGATCAATAAATCCAAAAATGCACAACATGACTCTCTTTGATTTGCTTTTATTTAGCTTTATCGTAAAATAAATTACAAATAAAATACATTTGCATATGTCTATATATGTCTAGTACATTAATTTACTCACAAATCTTTTGGGTTAATATTGCGCTGTGCTCTTTCATACTTCTCCTGCTCATCCACATTTGTTTTGTTTTCTAATGCTAAGAACCAAAAAACAAATCAGTTTTGCCGCGCCCCCTTTTTTTCTGCCTATAAAGCCCGATGTCGGGGGGAAGCTAAAATTATATATAATATATATGTATATATCGCTCATCGTATAAAGCTAACTCTAAGAATCACACGACGAAATCATATATTAAGAAAATGGAGCGAAAACAAATTAAATTCGTAACAAATGTACAGGGAAATGTTCTGTTCTGGGCGCGGACGCTAAGTGAAGATTTCTTCGAGATTAAATTGATTAGAAAGTCAATTAGAATATTTAGCTTTATGTTTTTTTTTTTTACAAACAATTTCCTACTTTTGTGTGATTTTTTTTGTTGTTTGGCAATTGGTTACGCGTTGCATTTCCGTAGTATCTGTTGTATCTCTGTTAAAATCCTCATCCAAATCCTTGACTGCATATCGGTAGTTTCGCTTACAAGAATATACATCCTTCATCATGTATATGTAAAAAGTGGTCCTTAATTCGAGACTTGTGTGTGTGTGTGGTTAAAACGCTTTCATCTGTGTGTTTTTTGTATATATAAGAGTGTGCTTTTATGCACTTAATAATGTGAGGCTTGGATTTCTTCGTCCCAGTGCGCTGGCTAAAAAACTTTCTCGCAAAAAGTGTACTTTAATGAAATGAGGAGGGTAGGTAGGGAAGTGGGCAAGAGCTTGACGAAGTGCTCACAAGTTACGGTCGATCGGACTCACTCTACGGACTACAGAATATGGATTTTTCTTGACTCGTTTTTCTTGCTGCTGCTTTAGCTTTAGTAGGCTAATATAAATCACGATAGTATGGCCACGCTGCGTCGCGGCCCGCCCTGACTGATGTTGTCCATGGAGGACCACTTCTTGATCCCGTTCTTGAGCGCCTCGGCGGTGACCTTGTCTTGCATCACCCGCGACATGGCCTCCAGCTTCTGGGCCCGCTCCTTGGACAGCGGCTCTGTGGGGAAATTGAGCTCATTGGCCTCGGCCAGCGTCCGCAAGTCGAAGTAGTATTTGGCATACACCGAAGACGGAACGTTGATGTTGAACTGCAGCAGCTCGAGAAACTGGCGCTCCAGCTCGTTCATGTCCTCCACGGTGATATCCTTGAGTATCTGGCAGTAGTCAACGTTCCAAACGGCTTGATCATCCCACACTTTTGAGGCGAGCAGAATGGCACCTGGCGGGAAGGAAAGATTAATAAAGAAAGAATACAAAAGGGGAACACCATTAACCTAGCCCCTGCACTTACCCAACACCATGCGCTTCCAGTTGCAGGGTCCCACATCCAGCTCAGCGTAGGTGAGTAGCCGCTCCAGGTAGACTAGCGTGATGATCGCACACTCCGCCGTGAGCTGGGCGGCATTGAAGAGCGTGCGCACGAACTTGTAGATCTGGCGGTGCTCTGGATTGTGCGTGTCATAGTTCTCCGGCACCGGATCATGGGTGAGCGGATGCAGTTTCTCATCGAAGATGTCCAGCCGCCGGTCAGACTGTCGGTTCTTGATGTGATAGTAAATGGCCAGCGATACGCACTTGACCGTATTCTTTAGATTCGGTTGCGAGACAGTGCTGTCATCCAGATAGATGGTTGAGCAGGAAGAGCTTTTCTTCATGCCGCCGCCGCCACCACCGCCGGAACTGGTGCCACCGGGAGTGCTGCCACCACCGCCACTTCCCGCATGTTGGGCAATCTGCTGCTGCGAACGCTTACGCGTCATACCGCCATTTTCCACTTTGGATCGCTCCAGGAACATGGTGGCCGCCGTGGGATCCACCGATGGATCTTCCTCTCCCTCCAACGCCTCACGCTCCGAGATGTGCTGCAGATTCGCCTGGTTCTCGAAGTTGTCGCCACTGCCGCCACCCTGCTGATTCGACTGCTGGTGATGTCCATGATGATGATGCAGGTGCACTGCTGCCATGGAACCGTGATGGCCGTCTGTTTGATGATGTTGCGACGTGTGCGGTGGATGACTTAGCTGGTGACGCTCCTCGAACACTGGCGGCATGTCCTTTGACTTGCGGTCCGACTGCGGACTGGAGTACGCACAGCACGAGTTCTTGTTGCCCATTTTGTTAGTGTGACTGAACGGGGGTCTGGTTGTGGGAGGCTCAAAACTAAATGCAACTTGGGTTGGCTTTTGCTTTCTTGACTAGCGGAATGGACTCCGAACCCGTAGCCGGATCCTCTTCCTGGCTCCTGGCACAGTCGCTCACGCTCGATTCTCGCTTTTGGCACTTGGTCGTCGTGGGTCGTCTATGTCTATGGGCATGGCGCTGGCGCTGTAGTGCGTTCCTATCGCTCCACAATTACCGCTGCCGAGCGAGCGCAAGTTTCACTGCAAAGAATATAGAGATAACGGCGATTAGCGGCGGATTCTATTCGATCTTATCTGGCAAATCTCTGCTTTACTCATCCCATTAGACCATTATTATTATTCAATTTGTTGAGCTGCGTAAAGGGTAGTTGGATTTTAGAAGCAGTTTGGAACAAAGAAGAAAAGTGTAGATTAACTGTCCTGATAAAGGGATTTATAGGTTATAGATATCGTTTTGAATAGTGACTCACAGTCCCTTCTTATAGTAGGAACTTGGCTTTTTAATTATTCTTAATTTGTAATACTTTTTATCTCTTTAAGCATGTGCAGTCTATTATAAGATATACTACGGAAGCTATAAGATATAAATATCAAAGTGGTAAAGAAAAATTGTAAGATAATGAAGGCCTAACAAACTAACAATTTGCTTTCTAAAATAGATTCTAAGAATGTTTAATAATGATATATTATTTTTCTACCTGGAATTTAATATTATAAATTAATGTTTTTTAACAAATTAAAGCATAAAATAGCTTTTATTAAGATAATGATACTGAAAAATAGGAAAATTTATGAAAATGAAAATAGTTAGTTCGCTTTCAAGAGCTTTGAGTTATTAATATTTGTTATATATATATTATATATCCAGCTATATATTATCATTTATAGCTCCGAATGTTTAAAACTATATTATCTGATCTTAAGACATGTCACATGACATGGTGCATGTGACTGACAAGGTTCCAGTGACAGTATTAAGCATTACTGCTGCTTCTTATTAGGGTATTTAATAATTCGGCTTTCGCTTTGGGAATTTGTCTTCCCTTATTTGACTATCTATGTATCTCGGCCACCGACTCCGTTTATTTGCTCCGTTTATAGGCGGAATCGTTCCGGCTTAGAGGCCGGGGCCAGATTGTTAGGCGGTTGTGCAAAAAAATTAATTAACCCCAGGCACGACACTCGCCTGCAAGTTGCCTAATTTGGCGAGGCCTTTGTTTTATATTTTTTTTTTTTATGTTTCTTTTCCTCGCCCCACTGCTGCTCCCCTTTTGATTTTTTTCGGAGGGGCGGGGCTGCGGCAAGGCTTGTGACACTGGGTTTTCTTCGTCGTTATTGGGGGTTGCCGGGGGACGGGTGACTGACTGAATCGTCACCAGAAACCGATGGCCCAGTTCCAGATTAGGGTATCACTGTCAAACGGTGCTCCCGCCGCCTCCCCCGCATATTAATCACGGTGAATGAATGGTAGCGCTGGCGCCGCTGTCGGCGTCGGCAGCACTGCTCGGCGCTCTGCCCGGAACGGAGCAAACACCCACGACCGCAAAGCGGATCAGAGATTCTTGTTCCGGAGATTAGCGGTAGTCAGTACCCGGGTCTGGTGATGGTCGTGAACTGGTTGGTCACTTAATTCGCCACTTTTCACACATTTTAATTGTTTTTCTTCCGTTTTTTAGTTTAATTACCTGCAACTAGAGCTGCAATAACTTCGATTGTACGCTATCGATACCATTGATGATTTCACAAAGTGCGATATGTATTTTATATCGAACTAGAGCTAAAACAAGGTGCAGAAATAGGGTAAGTGCTAGGTGGGAAACTATGCTTTGGGAAGTTAAATGTTAAAAATGTATAAATGCGTTTTATCTATTTTGGTATTTGCGTTTTCAAAAATGGTAGAATCTTGTGAACCAGAGAATATTTATTATTTATAGAAATATATATATTATTATTATATTATTATAAGCTGTTATAAAAGGTATGAGAAATTAATAAACCCCATTATTAAAAGGTGGCATCACTACGATATCCTCTCCAACATCTGGCAACGTCAATATAAAAATATGAGGAAAATTGAGCGCGTTTTCAAATTCAAACTAAGAGGGCCCAACTGTGATAAATAGTCCATATACCTTAAAACCAATTAAATGAGTACATACATCTTATTTTCCATTTCTTACTTAAAACTCATTTAGTAGGTTTAATAAGAATTTTTATTAGTATATTAAAAGTCATATGGTGTTTATTATAATTTACTTGAAAGTATTTCGTAATAAGCATACATCTCAGCCATATTTCTTGTTTTATCTCAAATATTTTGTTGTTGTTTACCCAGCCCCGTTAGTAGTTAATGCATATTAAGTGTTGAGTTTAACATAGGAAAATTAAAAACACTTCATTAGTATAGGCCTTGGTTTTTGTTTTTGTTCTTTTGTTTTTGCGAGAACTCGTAAAGTACACAAGTTGGCTTATAATCGATATATGATAATAATTCTGGGCAATAAAATGAACAGATGAAATAAAGTTATTTACAGATTTCGGAGTTGGTTTTGGGATATCGGGTGTTATTATTATTATTTTTATTTTGTTACCTTTAATTAGTGTGCTCGGTTCTACATTATTTGCATTCTGTGTGTATTTACACAAAATGTATATTTGTTAAATGGGTTCTTTATATTTAAATAGTGTAGATTAGTTTAAACGTAATGATTGCTTTCAACTTATTTACTTGTAGTTTATTTATTTTTATGCATGTGTGTATGCCACATATATATATTGATCCTTCGGCTAGGGGAAAGGAGTTTCTTTTCGGGAATGTGGCTGGAATTATATAGGTATGTCGTTTATATTATTTTATGTGAGTTTATGTTACTACTAGGCTACATTTTGCTAATAACATTGAATTGTAAACCTCATATATATCATCCAATATGCACGCGTTCGATTAGTTTTGTCCGTAGTTAGCATTTCGATTTTTCAACAGAGATAAATAACAATTTTTTTTGCATGTTTGTTTTTTGTTTGTTTTGGTTGCTTGCCTCGAACCGAGTTGTAACCCTATTTAATCAGGACTTTGTACAGATTTATATGAGAGAGATAGAGGTATGCTATATATATACGATATATATGCGCATCGCTTTGAGCGTTCAAGTTTTGATATACAATAACATACAATGCTCGTAATTACATAGTTATATTTAGATATTCTGGGCGCTATATTTATCATTTAGTGGTTAGGATTACATTAATCTGCTGTGTAGTTTTATGTTTTTTTTTCTCTTGTGTTTAATTTTTGTTTGTTTTAGTTTTTAATTAGTTATTAGTTTTTGGTGGCTACTAAGTAAGTAGACCTGCTTCCGCTATACACATCATCGGCATATGTTCGGTTTACCACTTGTTCGTACATTTATTGACTACCTTAATAAAGCTATGATCCCAATTTCAGCTGATAATTTGGTACCTTACTGCTAAGCACCTTTACCACTGCCCTTTGACGCCATCTGTCCGTCCGGGTTTTTTCTCCCCTCAGTGTTTATTTAGTTTTTTCCTTTCCCACAAACGCTGGTAAAGAGCAGTGGTAAATCTTAAAAGAATGGTCCCGCTATCAGACATTTTGAAAAACGTTTGAAAACATTTCAAGTTGGTTAAAGTAAAGAAAAAACATCCGAACGAAAGGAAATAAAAAATCCGCTGCGACTCAAGCCACACCCATTTCACTCTGTCCAACTTTTGTCATTCGCCTCACCACGTATAAAAATAAACATATATGTTTTGTTGTAGAAACGTGACTATTATATCCTTAACAATATTCATATTAAATATCCTTTCGTATAGGTTAGGTAGCTATGTGCATTTGTAGAGTGGAAAAGTTACGAAATCCTTTGTCTCGGCTTGAAGGAAAGTCTGTTAGTGGTTACTGGATAGAGAGAGAGAGAAAGATTATATATATACAAGTCGTACAGCTAGGTTTGTCAGGTATTTTTTGGTTTAATTTTCTGTTAGTTTTAGGTACTTAAGATCTACCCAGAACCCCAGAAAAACCTAAAATTGAGCAATTTGAATCCTTCGTAAATGCAAAACACGCAATCAAAACTAAAAAGAGATAGGGAAATACAAAAATATGTGTATTTAATCGGAAAAGAAAGTTAAATACATTGAACTTATAGAAATCATATATAATAAATTCCACATTTCACTAAAAACTAACAAAAGACACAATGATATTATATGTACGAACTGAAGTCTAAGTATAAATGCTCGAAACGAACCAACAAATTCACAACAAATTCAACTCCTTTTGCTATTTACAACTATGTATGCAAATTGGAACATTACTCGTTTCTTTTGTTTGCATCTTTTTGCTTTTTTTCAACTTTTGTGCTTATTTATCGCTTGCAACAACAAAGTATACAGTATTTGTACATACACATATATCGATATTAATGCCTATATATGTAGATGATGTAAGTCTAAAACTACCACAATTCACATAGAGAGCGCATCTGAAGCGGTTTGTTACTAATTAAGAGTTCTATGCTGCTTCTAAGCTTAGTAAAATTATTCATTTTTGCCTATTTGCCTTTTCTCCGTCTGTACTAATCCGTTTTCGTTCCCAAGTCCATTTTGTGTGTGTGTATGTGCTTTCTCTTAATTTTCCATAATTTAAGTGGCAGCAGCCGCTTCGCCAGCGCCAGCGACACCTGCCGGATCCGTTGCGGCTGCTGCCGCCGACTCGGTTTGGTCGCCATCGCCACCGCCACTTCCGCCCGCTTCCGTTTCCGCCGCGACATGCTTGTTCTCCCCTCTTCCGCTGCCGCTGTTGCTGCGGCTGCTGCCTCTTCCGCTGCAGTGGCCAGTGCACGGGCCTCGGCATCTGAACATGGAAATATATATTTCAGAATTGTATTAACTAATTAAACATACATGGAGTTTAAAATAAGTTAATACTGAACACTTACAAAGCGGTTTTAGGTTTAAAAAAACATTTAAAATTGGAAAGCTAGGGTAATTTCATATGCTTTTGATTATATCATTAATTGGCAGGAATCCAGAAATATTTTATTAAATATAAATCGCTTAGAAAACAGCATAATTTATCCTTAGATGCTGAATAACCCATTTCTTTTAGCTAATTGTTGGGAACAGTCTAAAATATTTCAAACATGTTCTTGGTATTCACTTTCAAAAAAAACTTTTTGAAACAATAATTCTTCATCTTTTCTTTATATAAAGCAGTTTAGCCTGCTTTCATTTACTATTAATTATAGTTTTATTTTAATTGTCCTACTTTTAATATTAATTATTTAATATTATTTACGTTTACAATATATCATTTTCATATCTCCACAGCAGTCAGCTTTTCAATTCTTTACTTTTAAATGGGATTTATGTCCTGTCCTTGAATCTTCTAATGACTTTTCGTGCGCCTCTCCAAGAGCTCTGCGTAAGAAGGTTTATGCATGAATAATAAACGCCTGTAGACATGACAAAGATCAAAGCGAAGGACAGGTCAAACTCAATTAGCGCTGTTAATATGACTACAAAAATGTGGCCAAGTCAGCAGGCAATTAATATGATAATTAAAGGAGCATTTACACTACAGAAAAGCTGGTTAGCATTTAATTCTATTATAACAATCAAGCTGAAATTAGTTTAATATATCTTAATAATTTTAATATTCAATCAACTATATTTAATTTTAACTGAGTTAATACAACAAGTTTATGAAAGACAGAGCTGCCCATACTGCGTTCCGGAAACACAAACTATTTAGACCCTTTATGGTCAGCTCTGATCAATATTTAAAAGATAATTAACCGACAAAAATAAATAGATATTTTTATGAATATTGTAATCACTCACCTTTGACAGCCTGCTCCTTCCAGATCTTCTTGTTCTCCACCAAACAGGAGAGCCATGGCTTGTGTATGGAGAACTTGGGTGGATTGGAAACCATGACGCTCTTGCGAACCAAGAACTCGGTGCCGGACTTGACTTCGGTGGCGGAGGTTGCAGCCAAAGGAGATGCCTCGTGCTCGACCAGGGTCGGTGGCTTGCCCTTACTCATGGGAGCGATGGGGGCCAGGATGTACTCCAGCATGTCGGACATAACACCCATGCTGGGCTCCACGATGAAATCGATGAAACATATTTGCGACTCGGCCACCAGAGTGTTATTGCGGTCACAGAGCGGACTGAAGGGCAGACCCAGTTCCTTCTCAAGATCACCCTGCCGGAAGAACTCCTCCAGCAGGAGCATTGTCCAGCGTTGATGGACACCCCACTGCTTCGCTGGATGCGAGATATCACAGCAGTGAAGCACCAGGGACAACACTTTTGCTTATCGATCGTCGCCTCCTGGATCGTGAGCAACTGCCTCATGGCCTTCATTTGCTGGAAGTGATTGGTCATGTCGGTGCCGAGTACCATTTCGATGACGAGGCTTCGCAGTTCACGGAACTCCTCGCGCGACAAATGCGACAGGATGTTGTACTCATCCTCGCGCAGCAACCGGAAACTGGCGCTGGCATGATGATTCTCCAACACAGCCCGATCGTTGTACAGCAACGCCGTTTCCGATCCGGACATTACGTGGAAGTTATTGGTGGTGCCCGTGTGCTCATAGTCGTGGAGCAGGGCCGCCAGCAGCGAGGCAAAGATCTCGAGGTCCGTCAGCCAGTTCATCAGGCCGGTGTTGCACAAACAATAGTGGATCGTCTGCATCACATCCACCGCATGGAGATTGTTGTGGTACGGATTCCGATACCGGCAGTAGCCCTCCTCCACGCGATATAGGAACGCCTCCAGTGTTCCCGGCGCAATCTTAAATTTGTGGATCGATCCGTAGCGATTGAATAGCTCATAGGCCACATACTTGACCACCTGTCCGCTGGCAGCCTCCGTCAGAGCAAACACATCGAATGTCCAGTCGTCGAGGTTCTGTGAGGGATGGGTAAGTGTTAAGGTTATATTAATATATATATGAGATATTAAATTTATAATTAATTATAATATTAAGATATAATTCTTAAATATGTTTAATTATAACGAAAGCTGGAACTTTAATTTCAGATCATTTGAATCTATATTTGTAGGGTATAATAATTTTAATCAGAAGTTTCAAACGCAGTCATTTCCAATCACAACATATATACACTCACAGATATAAATTCTTGATCAGCATCAACAGACGTATTGATAGAATTATGTTCGTATGTCCCTCACTCCCTCTTTAACTCCCTCCCTCAGTCACTCCCTCTATCACTCATTCACTAACTCCCTCACTCACCCACTCCCTCTCTCTCTGACTCTCTTCTCCCGTATGTCCATCTGTTTACCTCTAGAGAAATCGCTTACTCTCTAACTCGCTCTGCCTCCCTCTAGAGGTAGCTCTTACTCTCTCGCTCTCACTTTCTCTGTTCTCTTTGCTCGGGGACTATAAATAGAGGGCTGCTAGCGGCGCGCCGCCCTTAGTCTGTCCGCGGCACCTGCAGAGTTAACATCTCGAGTGATAGTGATAGTGATAGTGATACCCTTATCACCCGGTGAATGCAATGCATCTGGACAACCAGGAAGAGGCACACTTTGATCAAGAAGAAGAGGAACTCTAAACTGGAAGGATTAAGCAATGACGTGGCCCTACTCTACTGAGGTAAGTCTTAACCATGACAATTATTCATAAATATAAATATATAGGAGATATGAGGCCTAGGTCTTTAATCAGCTGTGCTGGCTATGCATTTGTTTACTAATTAGTCCCCTTATTCCCATGGACCTCATTACTATATTTTTGTTTACAGTGATACAGCAATTTGTGTTAGGAATACATACAAATGTATAATTAAAGTTAACAGCTGAACTTAATTTGTTCAAGAATATTTATTTATTACTGCATATATGAGTTTCAAAACTGACCCGGACTCTAGCACCAACTTTTGCCATATTCTTATACCCTTTCAGGGTATTATAATTTTAGTCAGAAGCTTGAAACACACTGAAGGAATCATTTCCGACCCTATAAATCATATATATTCTTAATCAGCATTTAAAACTAAGTCAAACTAGCCATGTTTGGAACAATTAAAATTTTATTAATTTTTCAAATTTATAAGGGTTTAATTGTTATATTACCAAAAATATTACAAAAAAATAAAAATGTTTTAATAAAAAAAGTATTATGCAGATTTGTTAGCTCTATGAAAACTAGCACAGAAAAGTTGTCTGAATTGAAATTAATGCATTTTTGGCCTTGTTATGATATTTGACAAAACTTAGATTTACCAAAAAATTGCATAAACAAAAACTGTTTTTTTTTTGCATGGGTGTATACGAAGACCAAAAAGCCAGTGATTGCCATAAGACATATATATTTCGATTTGCAATACAAATTTCAATAGAATTACATATAATATTAACAAATATTAAACATGCAGAGGTATTGGTATGTAAAAAGTAGAAGAAAATCTTCCCACGGGGCGTATACGTAATTTCACATATTAAGTATACGCCCTGGTGGATACTGTTGTTTAATTAAAATGAACAGAGAGTTTTAGCATTTAAAAAAACCTGTCGTAACTGAGAATCCTTAAATATATTTCACTCAACAAATTAGTAAAATTCTCAAAAATACATACATTTCTAATATTGAAATATGCTGGTATCCTAAAAAGTAATACAGAAAACTTTCTAAATTGAGATGATTGAATTTTTGGCTTAGTTATGATCGATTGCTCATTGATCACATGATTTTGTGGCTAACTGCACGGGTATACACAATTCGGCTTCTCGAAGTTAGCTACCTTTCTTGTTAAAAGCTAAAGAACTTTAATATTAATTACTCATACGAACTGTTGTCCCCTATAAGTGTTCAAAAAGTAACTAATTTCTGTTAAAACTCATAACTAAGCTGTCAGTCTTTTAGACGATAATATTTGTATTATTTTGTTTATAATATATCACACTTAAACCCCACTTTGGCTTATAATAACGTTTATATAAATTACTCATACGCACCGTTGCCCTTCATAAGGTGTTCAAAACTTAAGTGAAAACTTAAAACTAAGCTTGTATACTTTGACACGATAATTATAATACTGTTTTTAACAATATATCACATTTAAACCCACTTTCACTTTCTTAATTAAAGCTACTTAAAGCAAAGTAAACCTATATTATTTTTCCCCACTGTGACATCAATAATATAATGTTAATCCACACTCACCTTGAGCATCCTGACCACGTCCGGTGGGAAGGCCGTGAGGGCCGAGCTGGAGACGCGTCTGTACATTCGGTCCACAAAGATGCCAGCGCGAATGGCATGGGCCACCGATCGGAACTTGGGCTTCTCGTCGCTCTTGCGCCGGCTGGTGGCCATTTGGCGGGTGAAGGTCGAGGCCAACCACTCTCGCACCTCCGGCGGCACTGCATCCGGTTGCACCTCCGATAGCTCATCGTCCTCGTCCGCCAGGCGCCTGCACAGATGGGAGGTTTCGGTGGGGGGGGGGGAAGAAATAAACACTTGTTAGTTTTCAATTGCCTTTAAAGTCCTTTTCCGGGTTAATCAGTTACCAAAGTAAAACAAATACTCAATAAATGTACAAAAATTAAAACCGAATCTTTAATTGGTTATCAGCTTTTGAGTTCGATAAGCTTAAAGTTAAATTCAACTCAAATGAAAGCCAAGTTTATACAATAAAAGATAAGAGAAATAAAAATGAAAATAAAATTAAAAGTCATTATTGTGTGGGTTACAATTTGGCACGGAAAAAGGAAGGTTTTCTTTTCGGGATAGAAACGAAAGTTTAGTTTGTGTAGAATAAAGTTATAGTTAGTAAGAGTGTTTTTCGGTTAAGAAAACAGTTAGTTAATAGATACAGATACAAAGATACATTTGCTTTAGCTAGTTAACATCTCTATAGTGGGAATCTGGGGATGTTGGAATGGGGTTCTTTGGTGTTTTGGGGGAAAGGTGCAAGAATTTGCTATTTGGCAAAAAGCTAACAAAAACAGGCAGCAGTAGCAGCAGGCATGCTAGTGGGTGTTATGGTGGGCGTGGTTGTTCGTTGAATTTTCTTAATTGCATGCCAAGTATGTGTTATGTATCTCTGTGCTTTGTAGGTGCAACATCAAAACGTCAAGAACAGGCAACAACTAACATAGTCGAATTCGTGGGCTGGAGGCTACAACTTGTACTCGCCAAAGTTGTCACTAAATCACTCTGTGTAAACTTTCAATCAATAAAAGGAATAGAGAAGGTAGCCAAAGGAATCCAAAAGGGAAGTCCTTAAGGACTTCCTTCTAATTGGCCCACACGCACACACTTTTGGAATCTCCACTAATTGGTCTATTATAGATGGCAGTGTACCCTCCTCTTGTTACAGAGACCCAATCAATGCATATTCATGCCAACACACTCATTCTTGTTTTTGACCCAACTCAGATTTCATTTAAAAATATTATATACACCGTAAATAAAGATTATGGTTGTAAATATAATTGAATATTAAAGATCTTTAGCAAATTCGGAATGTTCTCAAGACCCTAATGGAGTAACATTTACTTAAATAAAATGAACAGAGATGATTTGGAAATAGAAATTAATTTTCACAATTTATTATTCACTCATTATAGTTATAATGTCTTATAAAAAATATATATAATATTATATTTATTGCAGCGATTTATTTTATTGTTGACTTTTTCTTGGAGTTTTATTTATTATTATTTTTAAGAAAATAAAACCTTCTGTAATGTTTCAACAATGACTTAATATGTAAACTTCAAAGTATATTATTTAAATATTTCAAATCCCAAATAAAACATTCTTTAAAAGGCAGTTCCTTATTCAAAAATGCATTAAAAAATCTTGGATTTATTTAACATAAAATAGAAAGCATTATTTTATAATTAGTTTAAGAGAAGAACCAATATACTTTGCATGTTTTCCGCCAATTAAAATTGAAATCGAATTATTTAATGTTCTTGCCCAAATTTGATGAAGCCAACATTTTGCCAGGAAAATGTTAAGTATCAAATATCGATTTCTATAAAAATTAGAAAACAAAAGTGGAAATTTTTCTTGAAACAAATATTTTCGTCTAATTTTTCTCGACATTTTCTTCTTACCGAAAGCTTCAAAGCACTTAAGCGCTCTTTAGAAGCCCGGCAGAAGCAGATGGAGACTGTCTGAAGCGCTTTTGACTTGAGCAAATTAGCGGAAGATTCAATTATGGTTAATTAGACAAACTTCAGAGCTCAGACAGTGGTCTCATCCTCACCCGCGCACAACTAATCCACGTTGCCAGGAGCCAAGTATGGCTTATGGGATGACACGAGGCCTGATGCCACCCACTGTGCCGGGTTATGTGACCACATCATTAATGCCAAACCACAGCATTTGTGGTGTTAAGTAAGAAGCAAAGAAATTCCGAGTGGTAATTAGTGGCTGTTGCATAAATAGCAAGGTATTTTGGTTAACCAAAACAATGTTTTTCATATTAAAATTGTTTTAAATAGTTTTAGCTTTTATTTTACTTGAGGAAACAATTTCATTTGGAGTAAAGTAACTTTGAAATTAATATGTAAACACTTGAAAGAGCAAGGTCCACTTGTAATTAATATGCTAATATTAATTACAGATTTAGGTTTTGCTAAGGAGGCCGAAATTAAGGAAGGAAATACTGAAATAACCTTGAGAATGGGGTCTAAGTTTGAGGAGGGGTGACCTTAATGGAAGTTTGTAGGCAAAATAAACTATTTGGAAAAGGCTTAACACCCCTTACGTAATTAAAGAACTTTTTGTAGAGTAGGATTTTAGCTTTGAATATTCTTAACTATTTCTAGTATTTGGCAAAAGATGGTCCTTGAAGAAACAAGGTAATTTTAAAGGTTGTAAAATAATAATAATAATATAATAACCGCTCATTGTTAAAGCTTTGTTTCCAGAATAAAATTCAATTAGAAAAAGGAATCTTTAAACCTTAAATTAAAACTAATAACAACTCAAACTTATCTCTCAATATAACAAACATTTTTGGTTTATTAATAAAGAGAAATGTACTTGAAAATGAAGTAAAAAACTCTTGTCATCCCTCTCATTTTGCCCTCAACTTCCTGGTCAAAAAATGTCCTTCCAACACTACCAAAAACAGGACTCTTTTTCCCCACCCCAGTGTCACCATTGTCCTTACATAACACACACTCCCCATAAACTGTGGCTACCATTTGTCATGTGAATTTATTTTGTGTGCATTTCCTAGCCAGTGCCAGAGAGTATATATATTGTTGCGGTTTGGGATGTTTATTTGGCCAACCAAGCTTGGCTTTATTCTACACTTGGTTTATTTTAGTTTGTAAAGAATTATATTGTAATTAATACCATTCGGATAGCAGGGCATGCTGCATTTCAGAGACACAAAACATGGTTTTTCTTTGCTTTCTCTTTGATTTTTTGAAATAGTATTTAGAAACTGAACACACACTGGGACTGCACCTTTTCTTCTTCTCCTGCGTCTCCTTGGCACGATACTGAATTATGAACTGTATCAGCTCGACGGTGATGACGCTTTGACGGCTGCTTTCACGCCTCAGACGACTCATGGCGCGAATTGCGGCAACGACCACGATGGTAATGACGGTCAGCCGGCTGAAGCGGCTCTCCGTGGGCTCCGGTATCTCCTGTGGCACCGGATCCGGGCACTCTGCGTAGACTCCTGATGTCTCAGTTAGAACAACACCCACCTCGTTGTCGCCCGGTTTCAACATGGAGCCCAAATGGGGAATTGACTTTGGGGCAATGTCGTGCTCGGGTGTTTTTTTTTTTGTGTGTCACTTGAAATTAATACATCATCTTTTCGCTCAGCGGGGTATTCCCCATCATTCACCGTCCTTCACTTTTTCGTAATTAGCTGGCAAAACAAAATGCGCTTTTAATGACGGGGACAACAACCAATATTTGTGCAGCACATTCAGAACAGAGCGGAGTTCTTTCTTATTTTCGCCGCTCGACTGGGCTCTTTGCTCGATTTTCGTGTACTTGGCCCGCCGCGAGTTAAATTTAAACTGAATGGGCTTCGGCGGTCCGGAGAAAGCCAGCGAAAAACAGCCCAGCGCAAGTGGTTAGCAAAAATTTTTTTGGCCACTTGCGTGCCAGGAGTATGGAGCACGGACAACGAGCCAGGAGCCAGGAGCCAGGAGTCAGGAGTCCGCAATTCGCAGCAGAGTCCCTGGCTCAGCAGGATTGCGTGTACATAGCCTGGCACACGCCAACTGCAGGACGAGAAAGTAACGAAAAATTACGCCAGTCTGGGGAAAATGGTGGAAAAAAAAACGAAGAAAACTTGGAGAAAACTGTTCTAGGTGGCCCATATCAATTATGTCAGCAGTAAGACATCGCCGAGTCATGCCAAGCCCAGAAGCACAAACTATTATGTACCAAAAGGCCAGGCAGTGAGAGAAAATTCACTTATATTCACTCGGAAATAGTTAAAGAATTTTGAGATAATTATATGTATTTTTAAAATCACACAATCATTTAATTTTTTGTGAGTTTAATATGATCTTCATTTGTAAATGCAATTATATGTTATATAGTTTAAAGTTTATAGGAATTTGTGGATGTTTTTATATTTTGTAAATATAGCTATAATGCTTGGTACATGGACCTATAATTCTCAAGTAAGAATTCAGAAAGAAACTGCTAAAAAATGGAAGAAAGTCCTTATCCTGCCTTAAGATTTTCATAAGGGAACCTTTTATGTCGGATTTAATTAGTTAATACAAATTTAAAAGTTTAAAAATTTATGTTATGATACTTAAAGTTTATTTTTAAAATTATATTCCCCTTCAATGTTTGGTTTTTTTTAAATTATTAAAGTTCTTTACGTTCGTTCAAACATTTTACCAAAAAACACTACCCTTTTTTTTAAATCGCAAACAGAAAAGCACCTCACTAAACTTATTCAAATATTTAATATATATTATTTAACTTAATACTTAACCCATTTAACTGCCAGTGTATTCCCTCAGCTTTGAAGCGTCCACTCGAGCATGTTTATATACATTTTTACTACTATGTATTTCCCACAAAACAATTACACAAAATGCTAAAAGGCATCCCGCAAAAAACAATAGCAACAAAGTAGCACTATCCGCTTTCGCTATAATATTTAGCAGTCGTGAAGGGAATAACTGGAGCCTGATAAACACGACAACGTCACGAATTCATTTCAACAGAAGAATAACAAAAATTCAGAGCAGGCAGCAAAAGTATCTGTGACTGAAAGTAACTTCCTTTTGGGGTCCTTGGCGTTTTGCCTCTTGTTTAATGACTTTCCACGACCCCTTCTGCTCCGGGAAAGCCTTTTCCCTGGAAGGGTTCAAGGGTGGTGGCGACTTGGATGACCCATAAAAGTCGCCCGACTTTTCCGAAAATGTATTTTCCCAATTGCATTCCATTCGTGAGCACTATCCCTTATTTTCTTTTGATTCAATTTTCATTTCTTGAGCGTGCGGCAAATTGCGTGTTGCGGCATTTGTTGAAATAAATTGCATCAGTTATTGGCACATTTGCATGATTTCTTTATAAGCATTCCCCGGTACTTCCCCGGTGATATGCATTTTGCCATCACGCAAGCTTTAATCTTGCGAAAAACTGCTGAAAGCCTTGCAACAGGTTGCACTCACTCACTCGTGGAAATGCAACTCTTGCACTGCCACGAAAATGTTCATGAATAATTAATTTTTACTCGTTTTTAGTTAGAGATTTGCTGTGTGCACAAGTGCAAATTTACAAATGCATTTTAATTACTTAGCCATGGGTGGTTTTTATAAAGTAATTAACTTAATCACTTAGCTATGTGAGTAATTAAGGTTCTTATTAAACAAGATGTTTACTTGGTAATTATAAAGCGTTAAAGAATATATATTTTGAAGTAAGTTATTTCACATTATGGAAATTAAATAGTTCTTTAAGTGGATATTTATATTCTAAAATGTATAGAACCAACCTATGCTCAAAATGTTTCACATATATAAGAGAAAATCTTAGAATTGCATTCGTTTTAAACTCTTTTCAATGCTCTTCTTTTCTTGACCTGCCCAAGGCTATAAACCATTAAGGATTATAAAGGTCAAGAGGAAGTACAATCCACAGAAGTCTCCTTAATAATAAAAAGAATTAATCATAATTGTAAAAGTATACTTTTCCCTATGTTCCTTTAACTTCCTGATACTGTCAACCTTTTTTATTGCCTTTAGGTAATTTTAAAGCATTTAAAAGTTTCCTGTTCAGCATATTGGCAAACCCTTAAACTTTTCTTACAATTTTTCTTTGATATCTGTTTGGGGTGTTGATTCCTTGGTGTTTTAAGGGTCATTTGATGGAAGGAATTGGGGCAAAAATGATGCCAGTATTGCCCCATAAAAGGGCCAATGATTATGAGTGGCTGCTCCCAAGCTCCCTGATCCTGCCACCTCAACCATCAAACCCATTTCCCCTGGAAGCATGCCACTTAATAGTTATGCGTGCAATTTCCTGTGCCTGGTGCCTCAAGCGTTTTGTCGTTGTTTTTGCCATTGCCACCGAGGTTGTTTGTGGCATTCCTGGTTTGTCATCGCCATTGACGGCAAAGGCGGCGGCGGCGGAACACGGGAAATTGCTGGCAAATTGACAGCTTTGTTTTGTGTGCCAATGATTTTGTGTTGTCGGCGGCTTTTTTGAAAACCACCCACGAAATCGGCTCACATGTCCCATTACCCTCATGTCCTCACCATCAGCCAGGTTCTATGCTGTATAGTTATGGTTTGGGAGGATATTGGCAAGGACGTTCATGTAACATAACACAAAAGGCCAGGAGAAAGGCTCCATTGAAAACCTGATAACGAGGGGAGCAGGAAGAATTGTTCTTCCTTTTAAAGGATAAGAGTTTGAAAAATAAGTATACAAAGTGTAGAAATTATTAAAACATATGTATATGGTTGAGTTCCCAGACTATGAACTTCATTAGATTAATGTTATTCAGACTGATCTACCTTACAATTCTGAGAAGTTTTCATAGAAATTTCTTGCTGAATTCGAAATTGGGTATTGAATGCAGAAAAATGTATACTTTAAATAATATTATGTAAAATATATTCTTAACTTTCTTAGGGATTTAAGAATGTCCAAGTACTGTTAAAAATATATTTAAAATTTAGTTTAATGTAGGGTATTTCCCTGTAATAAACTTCATAATTCAGAATGTAGAAGAATGTTTTTTTAAATGATATTATGTAAAATATATTCTTAACTTTCTTAGGGATTTAAGAATGACTAAGTACTGTTAAAAATATAATTAAAATGTAGTTTAATGTAGAATATTTCCCTGGCAACTAACTCCTTAATTCTTTATGGTTAAACCCTCGATCAACCCTCGCATACCCATGTACGCCCACGTCTTTGTGCGATTAAAGTGCGTATTCGCTTTGTATTACCAGCAAAGGCGGAAGCCAAGACAGGATAGGACAAAACCTAATAGCAGGACAACATCACGGCCCCAAGGTCCTTTCATTTGATGCGACTATTTTGGAAACATTTACCCAGGGTTCTGCACCCCCTCCTCATCCCTTGTTCGGTGGCTAGTATCCAGTGTGTATCCCCATAACTCCCAATAGCTCTTGAGGGCGGTAAGTTGCCTATGTGGCAGAAATTGGCAGTTAACATCATTTGTTATTGATTTTCGCATTGGGTAATAACCAATATCAGCTGCTCTGCCCAAGGTGGGGTCGATTCCCTGTCCTCCTGTCCAGGAATTATTTGCTTTTTGGGTCACTCCCATTGTCCGCGGCCAAAGATGATTGATGAGGGAGTCCACAAAACGTTTGTATGGTAACCTTCAACTTGGTCCGCTTGGTAGGGGTTTTCGGTGTACTGTTGACCCAATTTCCATGCGGTTGGTCGATGGGGGTCTTCTTCACCTGCCTGCCTGCCTGCTCCTGACTCATTTGAATATTATTCGCAATTTTAATTGGTTTGCTGCTGCTGCTGCAGGTACCTCACTGCTAACCCATTAATTATAATGCACATACATCACTTAACGCGACCTGACAATTCGCCACTTGTCCAATCAGAGTTAATGACTATTAATGATATAGTTTCCAATTACTTGCTTGCCACGCCCTCGCGCCGATGACGCCTCTTTTGCGACGACTGCTTTTGCTTCTGCTGCTGCAGCATATTGTGAATATTGGTAATTCGCCTTTGTAATTGTGATTTATTGAATTTACATTTGTATATATATTATTTTTTATTTATTCAGCACTGTGCACATTATTATTTTCGCGTTCGACCGATGTGTGCAGAGTCCGAAACTGAAAACACATTAAATTTATTTCCACCTTATCGGCATGAATGAAGCCGCAAATGGCATTTAATTTTGTGGATTTTTTTTTTCAACAATAGATATCTGCCCGAATGATTACGGCACTAATACCGAAACACTTTATATCTACCTCAAACTTTACAGAAAATGTGATTTCTTTTTCGTACATATATATATTCTTTTTGAGGTTTTATTATTATTTGTTTTTATCATAATTAAACAAAGCCAAAAGTTGCGTCAGCGGCAAAGATAACGAGGCTTTCGGCTCAGTGTATAAAAAGTGTAGTTCTTTGGGTGACACTGTCAGCAGTTATGCTAATTGAAAAGGCATGGGAACTTTTATGACAGGACCAACAATAGTCAGAGTCTAGACTCAAGAGTCAATTATTGATTACGGAGAAAAGTACGATGCTATAAGTCTTTAAAGTTGAATATATGAAATGTATTCCCTACATTAAGCTGTTCTTTAAAACCATTTTCAATACAGAAAGTATATACAAATGAAAGGTGTGATGGATAATTATTGAAATTAATACAATTTCTTATAACAATTAATATTTAATACAAAAACTAAGCGGAAAGTAGAAGAGGGACTTTCTATAAACCCACTATATAATATTTAATGTAATATATTTGCTAAAAAAAAAAAAAAAAAAAAAAAAAAAAAAAAAAAAAAAAAAAAAAATAAATTAAATAATCTATATTTGACTAAAAAAGCAAATTAAACCGAACGCATTCCACTTAGTTATTATATTATTATTATACATGCATTTTTTATTTAATAGCCAGAAATGTATAAATTTTAAGCTTTATACCATCCAAAAATAACATTTTCTTGAAAACATTTTCTCACGTTTAAAAGGCTTTACAACTTTCTGGCACTCTTAACATATTAAAAAAGTAAGTCTCCCAGAATCCCATTTTATCATCTTATTTTTTGACATCTCTTAGGCCATCGGATCGAAGTAATTTGTTAGCTTTTATTTATAAAATCTTTAGTACTCCTCAGCCCTCCTTTGACGATTTGTCTTCATAAATCGGAAGTGTGCGTAAGCACGACCCCCCCCCAAAAAAACCCCCTTTTAAGAGCTTAAAACGAAAGCCAGGGATTTGCTCGCCTGATTTTTGGGGCTTTTAGTGAGCACTGTTTTCCTTCACCGGCTGGCTTGACTTGTGAGCTTTGCCAGGAACTGACACGCTAAACTAATTTCGATGTCGGCGGCACATGTAAACCGAATTAAAGTGACAGCCTCTTGGCAGACGCAGTGCTCCTGCCTTATTTCGTATCCTTACTCTGTGTACTTCCACCTACCAGCCGATGGCGCTGAACTTGATTAATTTTTGTTTGGGAGACGCAAATCATCATCTACGACATGGGGCGACTTGTGGTGCCGCGGTGCCTCCAATTGCAGGGTGCGGGTAATTGCGTATTTTGCGAGTGAGCACACAAAAAGACAGCAAGAAGCAATCATACAAATGCACTCGGAAAAAAATTGTATTGGAATATTCTCTTGAAAAATATAAATTTTAAGGTATAAGATAAGATTTAAATGACCTGAACTTTTCTGGAAGTTTTTATGTTAGCTTTAAATGTGCTTTAAATGATGACTATTTTTGATTGGGATTTAAACAAAGTTTAATTAAAACTTCTCATATTAACACAAAACATTAGCTTCTATAAAATACTAACGGTTTATAAATAAACTAATATTGAAACATTTTTAGAACCACAAGTTGATAACAGCGTGTTTAATAGTCATACTATTAAGTATAGCATTAAACATGTCTTAAGTGGTTTTAAGATAAACAAACTATTATATGATATTATATTATCACTATATAATGGGCTGAAAAAACACCATAAAGAACTGCTGCTTTGTGTTACGAATAAATAAATGTTATAAAAAATAATTATAACTGGCTTAAAATTCTGAAAGAAAGACTCTTTGAAAAAGGTAATTTGAATGGTAAAGGGAATTCGGAGACTTGTTTATCTTACATATATTCAAAGTAAATCACTATTTAAAAAGTATATTTGTTTGGTAAACTAATCAAAACAATTCTATATTTTGTTCCTAGATATATATTTTCTTTTCCTATTTTTGATTCTTGAAAAAATGAGTAAAAGGAAACAAACAATCTATCCTAAAAATGTTTCCCATATTAATCCATTATAATTATTATAATTAACAAAACCAATATTTAAATTTATTCAAATATTTCCCTAAAATTTTTTCCGAGTGCAAAACATCAAGACAGACACACAAAGTGAAGGTGCAGATCTGGATGGAAGGGTGTAGGACAAACCGCAAGCGGACGAATCGTCGTTTATTATTGGAGGAGATGCCGTAGTCGTTCTCATGGATGTGACTGTGGCGACGGGCGTAGCTGAGGACGAATGTGGAGCTGGAGGACGATGTGGAGGGTGCCGAGCTGCATCTGGGACAGACAAAACAAATGACAAATGACACACGAGACAATGCAGCCAGGCGAAGCTAAGGAGAGCATGTCGCCTCCTCCAAGCTTAAATGTTCGATATTATTTATGGGGGGGCCAACAATCTAAACCCAAACCCGATACAAGACAAAACTAGAACAATGGCTCCGGATTAGCTCCGACTTTGCGTGTCAAGGCTAAGCCCTCGACGAGTTCTTGGAATTGCCCTTCGACAACTTAATGCCGATGGCAAGTCGTTCCAGCCAACTTCAGCTAATTACTCACAGAGGATGGGAACACCCGAGGAGTTCCACAGTGCGGAGCAGATGAAAGGAGTGTGCGGTCAACGAACGGCGGACAAAGAAAAGATCCGAAAAAAACTCAATCAGCCAAGAATGATGTGAGCTAAATATTGGATTATTTTATGGTACAGAGAAGTTGGAGATGATACCCTATACTGTTAAAGAAAAAAACTGGTTTGCATATACATATATGAATTTATTTAACTTTTAATATTTATGGTTTACGACTAAACATTAGTTTTTACCTGAGGTTAATATTAATAATTATTTTAAAACTTCTCAAAGCCTTGAAATTCTTCCTTTATAATGACAATATTTCTCCAGTTTTTATAACTCATAAAAAGCATGAACAAGTCATATTTTCTTTATAGAAATTACAGTACTAAAAACGCCAAGCTAAAGTGAGAGGAATTTAGGGAAACACTTCGGATTTCTAGTATACTTTTTCATCGTCCAAAAACGTTAAGATAAGCTATAAAGAAAAATCGTGGGAAAAACACGAAATGAATATTCAGAAATGTATACCCAACGAAAGTCAGATGCAGTCACAAAAACCTTTTTCATAAATTTCCGTTTATGTGCATTTTCCCAAATAGAAATGCGAGAGCCATCAAAATTCTCCTAATAATAATAATGAAAGAACAAGCTATTTTCATCAATTTCCATTACCTACACCCAGAGAATATCATGGCTGCACTTTCATCAAGCCATACAAAAAAAAGAGCGTTCAATAAAAATCCAGCTAGGGTATGGCATGGCAAATCATTGAGGGACCCACTGGCCCCCGCTTAATCAGTCTGCTGGGAACTGTTATGGCTGCCCGGGATGGCTGTCAGCCGCGTGAGGTTACCCTCACTCATCTCGATTCCCGTTGGCAGTTTCAATTCCGTCGCTTTTATTCTGCACATTCCGGGGGATTGGAGCACTCGTCGCCAGTGCAGCAATGCATATAAATGACGTAGCAATTTGGAAGCCGTTTGTTATGCGAAGCTTTGCTTTGTTGTTCCACAATTAGAATCGCCAACTGGGGGGCACTCAACTTAAAGGCGTCTACATGGCCTCAAATGGTTAACTTTGACGAAGGATATTTCAGACAAAAGACGCTTAAAGTGAAGTTTATCTCAAGAAGAAAATACTTTAGTTAAGTTTTGGATCTCCTGCCATTTTGGAAACCTATTTATTGATTATTTGGAACGTAGTAAGTGGCTGGGAACTGCTCCTATAACTATAACCTAACTCTTAACAACTAGGAACTATGTCGGGGAAAAATTCTGTAAAATTTGGCCACGTGAGATTTGGTGTGTGTGGTTCAGCAATGGTTATGATAGCCCCTTGTTCAGATGGCAGCCGCCTGTCTACGATTCCAGCGCCACACAGTGGCATCATCGCACACGTAGACCAGGACGCTGGCGTCCCTGGAGAAGGCGATTTGTCGCACGGTGGATACGCTGCGCGTATTACTCAGTGTGGTCATAACCGCACCCTCCGGATCACTGGGATCCAGCTCCCAAACATAAACTTTGCCCTGCTGGTTGCCCAGAGCAATCACCTTTTGCCAGGGATTGAATCCGAAACGCACAAACCAAATCTCACATTCGTCGTACTCGAACTCGGCGATGATTGTACAGGAGGAATCGCTTGGCTTTACCTGTTCGAAGCTTTGATGCAGTTGTCCGGGCTTCCAGCAAACGATAGCATTCTCGCAGGACTTGGAAAGTACGAAGTTGCCAAACCACTGGACGCAGTCCACGTAATTCCTGTGTATGTCCCGCGTAGAGAAGTCCGGAAAGTGCTTGGTCACCGTGGGAAAGGGCAAGGTGGACTTCTCCTGGCTAAATGTATTCGATAGTTCGATCTTGTGATGGAATTCGGGTGTATTCAGACACCACAGCTTCAGCGAGTGATCCATGCCGCTGGACACAATGCGATCTCCTCGCATATTGAAGTCTATGGATAGCACTTCGTCGCGATGTCCCTCCACGCCACCCAGAATGGCAATGCAGACGTGACTTTGGATGTTCCACAGCCTAATGGCATGATCCTTGCTGCCGGAGAGCAACAGCTGCAGCTTGTGCGGATGGAATTTGAGCTCATTGATGGCCTGGCCGTGGCCAATGTAGTTGCCCACCGCCTCGTTTTGCTCAATATCAATCACTCGAATGACGCCGCGGTAACCAGCCGCTGCCAGGAGTGGAGCTGAGGTCTTCAGGTCGTATGACCAGGCACAGGTGTAGAATACCTCATCGGGCTGGAAAGCAGAGTCGAAATATGTGAACTTAAGCCGTGATACAGGGCCTTCCAAAGGCTAACTCACATCCGGATCGGCATAGCAGTGTAGCAGCTGCATCCCGCCCTGCCGCGGGCACTCGTACACCGTCACCCGGTTGCTGCCGGCGGTGGCAAACACCTGCGGCTCCTCCTTGCCCAGCAGCGTGTTAAAAGCGACGCCGAATATGTTGGCTCCATGGTTCTCCTTCACGAAAGTGCTTCGATGGGGATGGATAGGAGGGAAATCAATGCTTGCTCCACCTGGCTCTGTTTTAGCCAACTTACTCGTATTTGTAGGCGGCGCGGCTCTTTGGCTTCGATTTGGTGCTGCGGCGGCCGCGACGCTTGCTCCGCGTGCTGGACGAGGGCGACTTGCTGCGCGACGTGGTGCTGTTGGTGGTATAGCTGGCCGATTCGTCCTGCGTTGTTTTGCCACCAAAAAGATCATTAATTCCACTTTTACCAGATCCATTTGTCATTCGGTTTTTGTTTGTTACTTACGCCGCATGAGTCGTCGGAGTCTTCGGCCTCGTTGTTGCCGTTTTTCACTTTGTCACTGTTCATTTTGTAGGCCGCGCACGTTCACAACGTTAACTAGCGTTTAAATTGCAACCCCGAAACGGCAATAAACTATGTTTAACTTTTACTTTTTGTTTGCTCAAAACAATAATAATAATAGCAATTCCGCGGGAAAATGGAATAAATTATCGAGTGCAGCATGTGATTATCGAGTAACCTTACGTACTAAAAGCAAATAGTACTGGTCACACTGTTTATGGCCCACATCGATCATGAGATATCGATAACACAGAAGCGCGCGAATGTTTAAATTTCAAATTGACAAGACACATGCGCAAGCTAGTTTTATAGTTAAATAGAAACGTAATAAATTACATGTAGGACAAGTAACATGCCATGGATTTGTGTGTGTTAAGACAAACTTCGAAACAAGTATGTACAAAAATTACACTGCTCAACGAATTAAGCGATTTTGTGTTTCTTTTTCCTTTTCCTTATTTATAAATATAAACATATTTAACTTTTTTATGTTTTATAGAAGTCTTGAAAAGTCTTCTTAGAACCTAGTTTATTGGCCTGACTGATATTTATTTATTATTTAAGTTTACAAAAATTAAACTTCTATAAATTCCAGTAAAATATTAAAAGATATATGTTCATATGTATATTTAATTATTCGATGGGAAAGATAATTGTCTAAACTTTTTCATTATTAGATTAGGCATAGAAAATGTATTTACAGAAAGAAAAACCTCTGTCAGGTTATTTTAAATATTTAAAACTTGAATCTAAAAACTTGTGAGAAAAAATTATTAAGAACTTAACACGTTCTAAGCACATCTTTAGAATATCTTTAATTTTTTTAAAAGAAACCGTGCTTTCAAACTTGGTAAATATTATTGTATCTCGTTGGAAAAGTTTTTATACAAAAGACGCGGCAAGGAACATTTACAATTGCAAAGAGTCGCGGGGTGGGGAACGAAACAAGTGTTATTTTCTTATATATTTTTTTTTATTTTGTTGTTTACGACTATATAAAAAAGGTATTTACAAAGAAGCGAGCAAGAGTTGTTTTGGGAGTGGAAAAGGGGTACAGAGGCTAGACAGAAGATTACAGCAGTGGAAATTGGCAGAAATGGGTCGGCAGACGACAGAGATAGAGTTGGATAGAGAATAGAGAGATACAGATAGAGGAGACAGAGTTTAGAGAGTTAAGAGTAGAAGGTATTATATAGTATATGGTAAGTTCATTCTGGAGCTGTGTAGGTTAACGCAAAACGTCAAATCAAAAATCGCATAAAAACGAACAAACTGAAGAGGCTGATAATGGATAAACTGTTAGCTTAGAAATTTCAAATTTCAAGTACGTTTTGTTCGTCGACATGGACCTGGCCCAGGTGGGTGTCCGCAGGCGTCGTTGCCGGTGCACGGTCGCTGGATTACCACTGCTACTGCTGCCGCCACTGGTTACACTTTCCGCCGCCTTGGCACTGGGATCTGTGGTTGCTGCGGATGTTGCGGATGCTGCTGAGGTGGGGGTGGGCGCTGGAGCAGCCACTTTTGATGAATTCTCCTCCAGCACGGATTCCCTTACGGTCTCCAAGGCTGGCTGTAATTTGGGAGCTGCGGTAGCGGGGCTGGCACTGGGATCCGACGACGACGGCGGCCCTGTGGGTCCACTGTGTGTCTGTGGTGCCTGGGACACGCCCTTGGTGCGCCCCTCTATACTAGCCTGATTGTCGCCCGTCGTCGGTTCTGCTCCACCAGTGGCCACCTCCTCCTTTGGCTCCCTTTGCTCCTCCTTCCCCTCCTTCCCCTCCTCCACCTTCTTCAGGCTACAGCTGCTATTGGAGTTGTTGTTATCCTGCTGCTGGTCAGGATCCCGACCATGACTGTGGCGACTGCAGCTAAGGTTCTTGCAATCCCCATTGCAGTCCTCTCTGCAGGATGTTCCAAATGAATTCCAGGTGCATCCCAGGCAGGCGGTCAAGTGTTCCGTCGCCCAGCAGTTGGCAGTGAGTAACAGCGAGCCAGTGCAAAATGGCAATTGTTAGATTACGTTGTTGTTGCATTGCATTCGGTTGGTATATGTGTGTATGTGTGTGAAATTTTATTTATTTTGATAAATAGTTTTTGTCAATAGAAAGAAAAAAATATATAAATAGAACATCAGTTGAGAGATCGTGGTAAAGCTTTAAAGTTTAGTAGGGGGTAAGAGGGGCGGCTATACGTATATTGTTCCCAAAGAAGCTGGCCAAAAATTAAATTTTGAAATCCGCCTTACAAACAAATGGAGTATTTATATTTACAATTATTATAAAGGCTTTATTTTAACTATAACCTTTTCTAAATTATGAAATATTCAAAGCCGAGAAGTGCTTAAAGTTCTAATATTTCCACATTTGCAGGGCGAACTTTCAAAAATGCTGAAAACAACTCCAGCAACAGACAAAGTTTCGCCGATTTTACAAGCTCGTAATAGCCAAGTTAACTCGGCAACTTTGTGTGTTGTTACCTCAAAAAAAACAAAAAAAAAACAGGAACGAAATAAATGGCTTAAAAGGGAAAGCACACTCTTTTTCTACCCAACCTCACTTGACTATGCAAATCGAAGAATCGTGTCGTGTGTACTTGTTTTGGGTAGGAAAAATGTTAATAAATTATATGGCACAGAACACACCTGAAAAACAATGGTCCATATATATGCAGATGACATTCGGGAGTTGATCGGAAGAGGAGTATGGATTTAATTGAATGTGTGGTAAATAATAAAAATGCATAGATGCACTGCGGGGTTCGTTGTGTTTTTTGTATAGATTCCCATCCCTTCTGCGGCGGAAAAGCAAAACCAAAATCGGGTTTGGAAAATGCAAAGCTTTTGGGCATTTAGTTTAATATTATTTTTGTAAATAAAATTCCTGCTTTATTGTTATGAAAATGGCTAAAAACTAGAAGGTTTATAACGAGGTCTCTTTAAATAAACTATGGAAAGAATGGCATAATTTTAAATATCTGAAGTATTGATATAAAGGTTATTTAAATATATATAATCATCCTAAATCCCAAATAGCTTTGCACTTCCAATATCAAAAACAAAAATCCTATTTCAAAAATATTTCAACATTTTCTAAGCACCACAAACACTTGAAGTTTCATAGCGAGAAGCTTGAGAGAAACGGAGTTAGGATCAGTAGAGGAAAGATCGGATTCAGATCGAGATTTAGATTCAGAAGATACACAGAGAATTCCATCTGGCGAATTAACGAACGAACGGAGTAGAAAATATATGCAGATACACCGAGAGAAATGGCGAGCACAAAAGTAAGACACCGAGACTTGTAGGCAGAGGAGTAGAGATAAAGTGAGTTAGAGACAGAGATTACTTCAAAATTAAATTACGGTGCGGCGATTCGTTAGGGGACGGTGTTTTATTTTCTTAACCATAACTTAGTTACTCTCGGGATCCGAAGTAGATAAGTACACAGATATACCTTAGGTTAGGCTAGGCTAAAACTAAGAAATACGCGATCTCTGCAAACGTTAAATGATGATAATGGCATATGATATATAGAAGACAGGAAAGATACAATGGATGATGGCTAGAGAGTTTCTGTTTTACTGGCAAGAGCAAGGCAAAGTATAGATTTCGATTCTCGAAATACATGAACTGAAGACAGCACTACAAAGTATGAGGATAGAAATAGTTGGTAACAGATTTTAGAAAGATTTAGAAAGAAGAAAGAGGTGAGAGAGGTGATTAGTAAGTAGTGGGAGTAAAGATATATTGTGGTTGGATGGGCTTGGATATCGGGATAGATGTATTCGCGATCATATTATAGAAGAGAGATGTTATAAGAGTTAAAATCAACAGAGTTAACGACAAAACCAAAGCGACAAGTTTGACACGATGGGAAAACTTACTCTTCGCTCTCAACGGATGAGGACGCAATCTGCCCCAACCTTGTTTTACCTGAAGTGGGGCTTCTGATCAACAACACACAACACATATTGTAACAGAAACGGATATAAAAAGAAAAATATTCAGATATTTGTATACACGGAAAGAAATCAGTTTAAGGAATATGTATAATGACAAATTTGATAACTCGATGGATGATTGAATCCTACACTAAATATGTTATAAAGCCTGAACCAATTCGTTGTGGAGTCCCCCAAAAGGAAGCCCGAAGCTGAAGCAAAGTTGTCCCAGAGATCGGTTCGAGTCGGTTCGTTCTCCTCTTGGTTAGATGGGAGCCAAGAAGCTTGCAAGATTTTCGATTTTCTTTTTTCGAGGATAATTTAGGGGGGAAGGGAGGAGGGAAAGTCTATCAACTTTTGCCTACCTTGATTCGTCAATGAAGACGGCCTCGAGTACACGAGCCGCATAATGCAGATTGCGCTGCATATCCTCATAGGCAACGGTCTCGTGATCCATGCGACGGAGAAGACTACGTATTCTGTGGAAATTTTAGTAAATATATATTATTCTCGAATTTATTTTTGTGTAAGACTGGAACCCACCTCAAGGCCGCTTTGTTAAGGGCATCTGGCGTATCGACTGCCGGCAAACTTTCCGTTTCCCATTGACCGGCATTAAACGATAGAATCGAGGTTGTTTCATACGATTGCTGTGACGGGGTCGGAATGTCGGTATCACCGCGAAGGAACGAACCGGTGCCCATGGCATTTAGCGAATGATTGGCGGTATGGTCAGCGGATTCACTTTGCGAGAGATTGGCCGACGAGTTCTGAAGGTTGTCGGCCACATAGTTGGTGGAATTCGGCGATGACGGCTGCATCTTGGCTGTGGCTGTGGTGGCGGATGCTCCGGTGCTGGAACCCTGATTGCTCGATCGACTATCGCCGGCGGACGCTGGTCCGTTGCTACCGGTGCGGAAGCTTAAACGCTCCGCAAGGGGTTCACTGAGCGGCGTCTGGGCGAAGGTGATGCCCGGGTTCACGGTGCCGGTGCCGGTGCCGGTGCCGGAGGCGGAGGCGGTGGCTGCTGAGGGCGATGCCAGTTGCTGGCCGTCGTTCTGGTTGAAATTCCGGCTATTTGTGCGTCGGATAATCGTCAGTGAGCCGTGTCCTGCAGGATGGTAAAAGAGGCTATTGTTTAGTTTTCTTTTTCGGTTGCTTATTTAGTTAACTTAACTCTCACTATTGACACATTTGATTTGAGGCCCTACTGGGATCTAACGAAGCAGAGTCCCCAAAGGAAAGGGTTTTGGAATTGTTAAGAGTACCGTGGTTTTGGGGGATCATGAAGGATGGGAAAATATGAATAAATGAATATTATCCTTTATTCAATAAGAGGAAAATGTAAGAATATATTGCCATTGTTTATTACTTGAAAAATCAATATTTAATGTTTAATTTAAATAAAATATATAAATATCTGATTTTACAAATTATCAGTCAAAAAGAGAGAATAATTATTGTTTATTTTGAAAAGAAATTCCATTGATAAAAATGTCAAGTACAAGTTGTTTGATTCATAAAATCCTGAGCTGAAACTCATTTGTTTTAAGAACATATACAATAAATTATATTTAAAATATATAATATATATTTAATATATATTTGAAATATTTAATAATCTATGCATAAATAGTTCTATAAATTTCTATTTAATTTATATTTGAATATTACAAATCAAAGTAATCCTTCAACCACTGTTCACTTCCTTCCCTAGACCAAAATCTTTTAATACAATCGACAAGAAATCAATAATTTATTCGCATCATTTAAGGCCATTGTGGAGCACAATTCTTTATTTAGTTTAACCCCAAAGGGGGAGATGGGAAAAATGCTTAACGAGCAGCGAACAAGAACCCTTGAAGAAGTTCCTTCCCTTGCAATGGCTGAGTGGCATCGTTCCAGGACTAAGTTTGGCCCCTAAGTTCCTGTCGAAGGATTTATCTCTATGTGTGTGGTTGTCACGAAGAAGGCAAGAAGGAGGCGTCGGAGATTTTGGCACTTGAAGCAATCTATTTGGTGGAGTTACTCCCGCACTGGGAGAGAATCTTAACTGCATTCCATTTATTTTGGAAGTGCAAGCACCTCAAGATGCGTGGGGGAAGAGATGCCAAAGGTGATGGGGTAGTCATAAAATCCACTTTATGCTGCACTTAAATTTATGTTACACCCGAGATTCCTTTCGCTTAACTGCTAGATACGCAGGCTCTTTATCGACTCGGGTTTCGGGATGAAATGTTTTATGCTCCTTTTACTGGCAACTCTTCACGTCCTTAATGACTTGCCACGCTTCATTTTACCTCACAATGTTCATTTTTTTGTTTTTCTTAAGGGAAGCACCTGACATCAGTTAACGGCTAAACGCGATTCCGGGTGTCTTGACCCATGTGGATAATGGATACTGTTGGCAATTAAATGGCCTTATGGCCGCATAAAGTGCGTTTCACAACTGGTAACATGATCGATGGTCTTGACTGTCATCAATCTTGATTCAAAAGCTAGGATAGTTGACCTGTCAAAAATATTCAGCTGTCAAAAGGGGGTTTTCCCTATGTTTATGAAGTTAGTTATCGCAATTAATGTTATTTCCCATAATTGTATTTTATAATTTATATATTATCTGAATATTACAAGGGAAAAGTTCAACTGAAATATAAATCCGGTCACTAACTCGTTTTGTGGTTAACTTTTTTCCAGACCAAAAAACTGCACTTGATTGTTTTAATTTGTAAACTAAAATAAATGACATTTTGTCCAGTCTTGCAGCAAAAAAGTTAATCTAATCTAACTTAATTAATCACACAAACATGTTGTTAGTGAAAGATATGTGTGTGCATATTACATGTAATCTTTATTGCGTTAAGCTAAAATGATTTATTTTGTCAAGCGAATTAAAAGACCTCGCTAATATGGTTTATATAATTAAATAATGTATATACATTTTTAAATAAAATATAAATAGTCACAGGAGAGTGCTATCCTTTCTAAATTTCCGCCATTTCCGAGGGATGTCAAACGGACTTAGCCACCGCAATCTGCACAGCTGGTACAGGATGGATTATGTCCGCTGCATAAAATGGAAATTATAATGCCACCCCGGCTCAGATAATGAAATATGCAAAAATAATACACACACAACAGGAAGGGGGGATAGGGGGATGCAAGGATTCCAGGATGAAGGATGCTAGGATGCTCGTTACTTACTTGCCACTTGACCATTTATTGTCGCATTCGTCCCGCTGATGCCACTGAACTCGGCAACTGTGGGACTGGCGGCTTCTTGGCCCGGCGTGCTAATGCCACCTGCTCCACCGGCTCCGGTTGCAGAACCACTACCAGATCCAGCTAGTCCACTGGCTGCACCACTCGCTGCACCACTGCCGCTGTTGCCAGATGCCGCACCACTGCTACCGCCGGTGGCGCCCGCACCAACGTTGGCCTCGTCCCGTTTGCTGGGCAAACTCTCTGGCGTGCTGGCAACTGAAAGGATGAAATGCAAAATGTGCTTAGTTCGGGTCGATTTACTTTGGCAAAAAGTGTGAAAGAAATCTGTTGGATATTTCCTAGAACCTGGTTTATTTTTAGAGTACATGGTTTCTTTTTATTAGTAGTATACATAATACTATGTCAAAGGGTAGCTTAAAATCTCCCAAAAATCAAGCAGAATTTAAAGATAATATTGCAAAGTATTTTTACTATTCCTCTGCTCCAACAGGTTTTCCATTGCCAATCAGTTTTCAAACTATCTGTGCTTGTGTACACATCTATGCGAGCCCCAAAATCCTTTTGTTGTCTTTCACATGCTGGAAATCCTCCTCCTTTCTAATGTTGTTGGGCTTAGCCAAAGTGTATTTGTGTTGTGTATTTTGTTTACTTCTTGATCCAAAGGGTAGAAATACTTTTTTGCCACTTTTGGTTATGCGAGAGACAAATCTTTTCAATCTTAGTTGAACTACGATGAGCATACTTTTTGGGTAAAGAGAAATTTAAAGAGTTAACCATAACCTTTAAATTTTATGATTTCTACCGAAATATTAAATTGTAATATTCTTATATATAAGAAAAATTTTGGATTTTATAAAAGAAAGAGCATTTCTTTATCAATATCCCCGAGTTTGTAAACAATTTTCCTTGCCTTTAAGCTTTTCTTATGCTTCATCTTGTCTTATCCTTTGGCCTGGCTTAGGCGCCTCCTTTGGCACTACAAGATTAGATGGAAATTGCTTTTTGTGCGCAGAAAGGATTTTATTAGGCCAAGCTAATACTTTTTTTTGTTGTGTGTTTTTGTTTTGTGCAGTTGCCAAGGCCAACAGCTGTTGGGGCGCAATAAATGTTTATTTATGTATAGAAAAATTCAGCATGCTTACTAAGTTTATTTATCATGTTACGTATACGCCACGTAGCCAACGGGATGTGAGTAGGAACATATTATATATAAAATAGTGTAAGTTTTTTTTTTTAACAATGAAGATGCATCAATTAGGTTTGACTGGTTAAAATTAAATATATATATATTTCAGTGACTGTGCTAATTACACTTTAAATAACAATAGTCGCAGCTGAGTTTTTAAAACTACGTTTTATCATTTCTAATGTTTACTTTCGTCAACAAACTGCGGCTTTCGAAGTCGTTAAAGCTTTGAGTTTAGATTTATCTATAAATGGGTCTCGATCTGGTTTAGGAACGTTAGTCTTGTTTAACCAGTTGAAGTTACCTAACGTTAACTTTAGTTATCTCAGCCTTAAAGCCATGCGATTTTTCGCCCTGATCGCCTTGTGTCTGGTCGCACTTTTGGCCCTGACTTCCGCCGAAGAATTGACGGCATCAGTTTGCGCCTGTCCCCGGAACTACCAGCCCCTGTGCGGATCCGATGGCCACAATTACTCCAACCAGTGCGACTTGAATTGCGCCGCTAAAGCCAAAGGACGTACTATCACTGTGGCCAAGAAGGGACACTGCTAAGAAAGATACTTATAATTATAAGCCCACTTGAAAGACCTAAGAAACGAGAGAAATAAATATTTGCCAGCTTTAAAATTTGATTGTTATATTAATGGGAATATTGGGGTAGTCTGTGGCGAAATTGTTTTTAATAAGCTCAAAGTTTGAAGATGAAGGCTTGTCTATTTTAGCTTGAAATACAGCTATTGTCAATTAAGATTTATCGTCGTTGAACTGCTCCCTTAAAAGTAAATTAATTTTTCAAATATTCTCTCAAATGTTTAGTCTCATTTAAAGAGTTGAACGCTAAGCTTGTTTAGTTTCCAGATGTAATATAGTCATGCATTGCCTCGCTCAAGTTGCCTTCTACCTCTTTGCTCTTCTGGGTGTGTTTGTTCCCGGAAATGCCAGAGAATTGTGCGACTGTCCTCAAATATTTAACCCCGCCTGCGGATCGGATGGCAGAACCTACAGCAGTCCCTGCCTATTGGAGTGCTCGTCTGAGATTAATGGAGATACAATCACTATGACTCACGAGGGAAGATGCAATTTGGAATTACCATATTTGAATTAAATAATTTATTAATATATATTTCAAAATAAAATGAAACGCTCCAACAAAGTTTTGTTGTACTTAATATGTTGTAAACCAGAAAGCTTTGGGAATGCTAGAATATTCTAAAAGCTGCACTTATCTATAAATAAGATGAGATCAGGGTCGGAATCATCAGTCTAGCTCCACCATTTGCAGTTGACTTACATTTACTGTTTTCAATCTTTAAAATGTCACTACTACTGCGCGTCCTTTTGTTTGTGGTCGTTGTCCTGTTACTAACCCTGTGTGTCGTCGGGAGTGCTCAGCAACTGTGCGCATGTCCTTTCAACTACGATCCTGTTTGCGGGACAGACGGAAAAACCTACAGCAATGAGTGCGTGTTGCGGTGTTCGCCGGGCTCGTTATCGGTGGCTAGGCATGGAGCCTGCTGAGCTTGGAATGTTACATTGCATTGCATAACCTACCTATCTGATTTGTTATTTGTTGTAAAAAATAAATATTTGTCAGTGTTAATTTCAATTGTTTTATTTCTGTAAATGTTTTGCGGAGTTCGGGAATAGCAAATCAAGGGTTTTGTAATAAAGCCATGCGTAGGATTATTGTGATTGCATTTTGCTTTTTGTCTCTTTTAGGCCTGAGTCTCATTGTGAATGCTGAGGAACACTTTGTAATGTCCTTTTGTTCATTTTTCTGGTGGCACATCGAATGGAGGAACTTACAGCAATGATTGTTTACTGGAGTGTAAGGCTATTCAAGAAGCCTATAGCTACAAACTATTATTATTTTATTTTTAAATATATTTTAACTACATCCGTGGGTTCATTTTAAAGGAAAAGTCATCTGCGTCCAAGAATTGATTTATCTTTATTGAAATCTTGGGTATTTTAAGCTCATTTAAGAGAATATAGTTGTATAGTTTTTAACGAAATTAGTTCATAATTTACGTAGATGTGTAAGTAATGAAATGTTTTATGTTTTATATTTTCTGGCTTAAAAATGAACGAAGGGCCAGAGTCAGTCTTACTTGTTTTAGATCAAACACTTTAAAAGATCCCTGGATGGGGTTTTTAATTTATATAATTGTAGGAAGATCAGCCGGAAAACATCAGTAATGTGTAACGAATTATGGTGTTTCAAACATCAGTTTTCTTAGCTTTGGACTCAGTCTTTGCCTAAGTCATTTTACAATAGTGGAAAACGTACAATCATTGTGTATCCATTCTGAATGTTAAGTGTTCTGGACTTAGATATTTCCGACATTGATCCTGTTTTCGTTCCGCATTAAATGAATGTCTAACCATATATGAAACTATATTTTACTAAATCCATAGATACCTTTTTAAGGCAACAGTTAAATAATGTCGAATAATGTCCAAGCGTCGTCTCAGTCTCACTTTCCTTATTAATCACAATATATTATAACCATGCCAATATATTATAGCCATTGTACCAGAATAATTGCACTTTTCTTCTTACTGACTTTGAATGCAATCGGAAATGCCGAGCAACTATGCTGATGTCATCTAATTGATGATCCGGTTTGCCGGAATTAAATTTATTCTTTATTTTGGTACTGGTTATTTTAATGACATTTAAGAGAATATCATTGAATAATTTGAACCGCAATTAGTTCCTAGTTTACCTAAAAGTGTAACTAATGAATATATTTTCTCTCTTTCTCTTTAGCTTCTGGCTTATAAATTATGCCCCGTTTCAGTGATTTAACATTCAGTTTTCTTCGTCTCGTCACAGTCTCAGTCCCCGTATTATTCACTATATATTATAAACATGCGGTGCATTATAATTGTTAACCTGTTGCTGCTACTGACATTGAGTGCCAAGGGGAATGCCAAGGAACCATGCCCATGTCCTAGAATTAAGTCGCCTGTTTGCGGCTCGAATGGTAAAACCTACGAAAATGATTGCTTACGGAGATGTGACGGTATCCGATTCTCCCGTTATGGAAGATGCAGCTCTTGAGTAACCAGTTATCTTATTTTGTAATCTTTTAAATGTACTTGTCTATTTAAAAAAATATATTTCAAAGAAGTTGAATAATTGGAGTACATATATATTTTCTATCAACTGCTTTTAAGTTTATGGCGTCAGTCATAGGATCAGTTTATTCAGACTTATGTGCTAGCTAAAGTGCATTTGTGTTGTGTATTTTGTTTACTTCTCTTTTGGCTATGGGAGAGACAAATTTTTTCAATATTATAATTTCAGTCAGACGTTGCAACGCAGCAAAGGAGTCATCTCCAAACATATAAAGTATTTATATTCTTGATCAGGATTACAAGCCGAGTCGATCTAGCCATGTCCGTCTGTCCGTCCCTCTGTCCGTTTCTACTCAAACTAGTGCCCCAGTTTTTAAGCTATCTGAATGAAACTTTGCATTTTGGCATCTATATACTCTCACACGTAGATATGTCGGAACGGGCCGGATCGGCCGACTATATCATATAGCTTTCATACAAACGATCGATATAAAATTGAGGAAAATGAAAACTGAGAAAGTAAAACTTTAAATATAAAGTGAATAAATGAAAGCAGACATTACTTCATTGATTTTTAAGTTAACTACATATAATTTATATTGCATTATCTATCTATCTTTGGTATATAAACTTCGGTGTGCCGAAGTTAACTCCCTTTCTTATTTTAACTATATTTTTTACTCGTCCATGGACACATTTTTAAGAAAAGTGTAAGTTCCGCAAAGAATTAAATTTTTTTTCCACAACAGTTTCTTTTAATGGCATTTAAGATAATATAGTTAATTAATTTGAACCGCAATTAGTTCCTAATTTACCTAAAAGTGTAACTAATGAAAATATTTTCTGCTCTTAAGTTTCTGGCTTATAAATAATGCCCCGTTTCAGTGATTGAATATTCAGTTTTCTCCGTCCCTATTTTATAACTATATTTTATAAACATGCGGTGCATTTTAATTGTTAACCTGTTGCTGCTACTGACATTGATTGCCAAAGGCAATGCACAATGCGGATGTCATAAACATTATTATCCAGTTTGCGGATGGGATCGTAACACCTACAACAATGCTTGCTTAATGGAATGTGCGGGTGTCATAATGGCACATAAGGGATTTTGCGATTAAGTGTAATGAGAGAAGAAATTATAAATATTTTGAATTACTTGTCTAATTAAAACAATATATTCCAAGCAAGTGAAATTAAATGTATTCTATATTTATAGAAATACTTTCTATCAACTGCGTTTGGTTTCTGGCGTCAGTCACTGGATCAGTTTATTTGGACTTATGTGCATTTCTGTTGTGTATTTTGTTAACGTCTTATTCAAGGGGTAAAAACAATGTTTTTCTACTTTTGGCTATGGAAGAGACAAACCTTTTCAATATTATAATTTCAGTCAGAAGTTGCAACGCAGTGAAGGAGTAACCTCCGGGCGCATAAAGTATATATATTCTGGATCAGGATTAACAGCCGAGTCGATCCAGCCATGTCCTTCTGTCCGTCCGTTTGTCCATCTGTCCGTCTGTTCGTCCGTCTATCCGTTTTTACGCAAACTAGTCCCTCTGTTTTGAAGCCATCTGAATGAATCTTTGCAGTTAGCCTTCTATATACTCTCACATGTCGGAACAGGCCGGATCGGACGACTATATCATATAGCTGCCATTCAAACGATCGTTAAATAGAGGAAAATTAAAACTGTAAATGTAAAACTTTAAATATAAAATGTATAGGTGAATGAAATGAAAGCATTGTTTTTTACCATAAATGTATATACTTTATATTGCAGCAATTCGTAGTGATCGAAGTTCTATGTACGATATATAAACTTTCTTGTTTTAACATTTTTAAGATCAGGGTCATTTCCGCCAAAAAGGTTTTTTAAATGACATTAGTTGATTAATTTGAACCGCAATTAGTTCCTAGTTTACCTTAAAGTGTAACTAATGAAAATATTTTTTGCTCTTTAGGTTCTGGCTTATTAATAATGTCTCGTTTCAGGGATTGAATATTCAGTTTTCCCCGTCTCGTCACAGTCTAAGCCACTAAATTTTATAAAAATGCGGTGCATTATAGTTGTTAACCTGTTGCTGCTACTGACATTGATTGCCAAGGGGAATGCCAAACGACCATGCCCATGTCCTTTAAATTTTTATCTTGTTTGCGGAAAGAATGGTGTAACCTACGTCAATGACTGCATACGGGCATGTGAGGGTATCGCATTAGCCCATAGTGGAAGCTGCAATCCTTGAGTACCCAGTTATCTTTAGTGATAGTTCAACACTTTATTTATCTGTTGAATGTACTTGTCTAATAAAAAAATATATTCCAACGATGTAGAATTAATTGTAGGTTACATATTTATATTTTCTATTAACTGCGTGAAGGAGTCATCTCCAAGCATATAAAGTATATATATTCTGGATCAGGATTAACAGCCGAGTCCATCTAGCCATGTCCGTCTGTCCGTTTCTACTCAAACTAGTCCCTCAGTTTTGAAGCTATCTGAATGAAACCTTGCAGTTAGTCTTCTATATCTATATATATATATATATATATAAGATAGCTGCCATATAAATGATCGATATAAAATTCAGGAAAATGAAAGCTGAGACTGTAAAACTTTAAATTTAAAATGGATAGGTGAATGCAATGAAAGCAGACATTACTTCATTGTATTTTAACATAAATATACATATTTATATTGCATTAATTCATAGTGATCGAATTTCTTTTTTAGGTATATAAACTTTGAAGTAAACTTCCTTTCTTGTTTTAACTATATATTTTACTACATCAACGGTCACATTTTTAAGATAAGTGGCATCTCCGCAAGGAACTAATTTTATTCTTTTTTGCCCTATAGGTTATTTTAAGTACCGTTAAGAGAATATAATTGAAAATTTTGAACCGCAACAAGTTTTAAATTAATATAGAGGTGTAACTAATGAAAATATTTTCTGCTCTTCAGCTTCTGGCTTATAAATAATGCCCGGATTCAGTGCTTTAACATTCAGTTTTCTTCGTCTCGTCACAGTCTCATTTTCTTTATTATTCACTATATATTTTAAACATGCGGTACATTATAATTGTTAACCTGTTGCTGCTACTGACATTGAGTGCCAAGGGAAATGCCAAGGAACCATGCGTATGTCCTAGAATTTTGTGGCCTGTCTGCGGAACTGATGGTGTAACCTACGGCAATGATTGCGAACTGAAATGTGAGGGTATCCCAGCAGCTCATGATGGAAGCTGTAATATTCTTGTGAGATAGTTCAACACTTTATTAATCTTTTGAATGTACTTGTCTAATTAAAAAAATATATTCCAAAGAAGTAAAATTAATTGCAGTGTGTATATGTACATATATATTTTCTATCAACTGCGTTTGAGTTCCTTGAGTCAGTCTTGTCTCACAAGTTACGATAATCATAGGATCAGTTAATTCGGACTTATGTGCTATACAAGTACATATACATATATGTACATATATATTTAGTCAATGGTTAATTCACTCTAATTGCCGTCTGCCTCTTCATTCTTTTGGTAAAGGCCAAAACTACGGCAATGATTCTCTATTTATTTGTGAGTTCAGGAACACAGGACCCAAATGGGGAGTTTGTTTAAAGGACACATGAAATTCCAATTTGTACTGATTTTTGTTTGATAAAATAATACAAATAAATTTTTAACTATACCTCATTATATTCTATATTCATTAGCAGTTCGGTAGGGAGATTCGTGTCATAATCTATATCCAATTAGATTTGATTTCCTTTGTAATGTAACAAATTACATTAAAGCATAAAATTTAATGAATTATGCAATCCAAAATATTTTTTAGTTTAGTTTCCGGTTTAAATGGTATTGTTTCTTTGTGCTTTGTTAAAATCAAAAATTTTAATAAATAAATACGTGTACATTGTGAATTTTATTTATTCAAGATTGACTGTATTTATTTTTGCGGCTTCTGTTATTGACCCAATTGTTAAACGACTTTTCTTGCTGGCTTGGATTCTGTTTGAACAAATGTCGCCCCAGTGTTTTATAACAATAAAAAAGTAATCATAAATATGCCAGGTCTGACAGATAGCGTAGGTTATGTTCCAGAGGAGTTTTTATGGATAGAAAGTGTTTAAGAACAAAAATTTTGCAAATAGGGCAGAAAAAGAAATTTATCAAAAGATAAACAATCGTGTTTTGTTTTAATTAAAATGATAAAACCTCTTTGAATAGGTTACTAATATTGTTTTCGATTTCTCTCTCTCAATTTTTGTTCCTAAAATATTATTTTATTTGCTGTATAAAATACAACTTATAATATTCACTTCGGTTCTTTCATTTAATGTTTACCCAGGAATAGTTGAAACTCATCTTTGAACCAAGATAAGTAGTCAAGATAGTTGAAACTTTACCATGACTCACAAAAGTGTAGCACGCTCTAGACTATCTTTGACAGCTATAATATAATTTATATATATTCGCAAATCAGTTCAGCACTCAAAGTCGCTTTGTCGTTTTTTCCAGTGCGATATTTGTCCCCTTTTTGTGATTCGCAGTTGCGATAAGATCTCGAGGCGTATCGATTGCAATGCCAAATACTCTGGTTGATAAGCTGTTTTTTTTTTCTATTTATTTCAGCTTGATGATTAATACAGGGCAGATATATTTATTCAATTTGATTATTTATTTTTCCAATTTAATTTTGGTTTTATTCCAAATTCCCGATGTTTCTTTGGTTTAGTTTTTAGAGAAGTATCCGGGTTAGCAGGTGCCGGTTCTCAGGAGCCCCAAACTGCGTCCCTGACGTGCCGCCGAGCGACTCTGACAATCGAATTCACAGCGATTGGGATAGGTGATCCTGTTGGTTCCACAAACGGGTTCGTAGTTCCTGGGACAGGGACAGAAGGCCTTCTTATCCTCAGAGTTCTGCTCTTCAGTTAAATCGCCACGAATTGGCGATATGGCGAGGGCCAAGAAGAGGCACATGGCCAACAGAATGCTTAGAAATTTCATAGTGTCGAGGTTAATCCACTTGCTATACTGACTCGCAACTGCCATTCAAGTTCGTTTTTCAGGTAATGGAGCTTTGGTTCGCTTCGATTTGGCCTGTTATCTTATCACTATAGCGTTGGGCTTTGCAGTTGAGGGTAAATTTTAATACCCAGTATAGGTAATATCAAGGGGCTAGATTGTTTTCTGGCTGGTTAAGAAACCTTTTCACTTAAAATCATATGGATGTTCATTACTATGCATATCGTAAGGGAAATCAAATTTGCAGGAATCATTTCTAAACAATATATAATATTGATTAGCAGCACAAATGTTTTTAACATAATAAAAGCTGACCCAAAAAATTGAATTCATTGCAAATAATACATTTGTGTCTTGATTATGATTAATTTCAAATACTATATTATGCCCAAAGGGTATACAAACTACAACATTTGCAAAGTTAACTTCTTTTCTTAATTATCAAAAAATGAAATACAGGGTATGTCACAGTCTGTTAAATTTGTATAATTCTTTTGACTTGTCAGACCGCATAGAACCTGCTCAATTAGCCGAGCGTAGTTCCGAGAACTGGGCTAGTTAAATAAATGCAATGGCAATTAATTGAATAATTTATGAGTGCCAGAGCACTTTCATTTAAATAATTTATTTACCTATCGAGAGGAACAAAGCGCGGAATTGTTTATAGTTTCGAAAGCTCCACAGAAAAAGCTATATTTTAACTATTCTCTGAGAGAGCTTTATGTGCTCTTTTCAATTGTTATCAGTGATCAGGTGGCAAACGCAATTGAAGAAATTTCCCCAATGTATATATGTATATATGTACATATGAATCGTACACTCTCGTACACAAGTCAGCTTTTTTATGAGACGCAGTAATTAATGGAAAACTAGATGTTTTGTGAAGTAATTTACACGGCGCTTGCTATTCAATTTCAATTGCCATTCAAATTCAATTAGCTTAGCGCATTGCCGGCCCCCGGGGAAATTTGTATAAGTTTTTATATAGCCCAGTTCTGGAGTATCAGCCGTCATGAGAGGTGTTTTCCTGTTCCTCCTGCTACTGCTCTTCGCCATAGTGGCGGTAAGAGCCCTCAACTGCCAGCCATGCAAAATACTGGAGGCCCGCAAGACGCATGCCAACGAAACCCACACACGGGAGGAAGGTCGGTTGGGAAACAGTGCCAAATAATCAGCAGCTTGTTTGACTAATTAGCAAAATTTACACACAAACACACACCCACTCTTATGTATGTACCTTGTGTTCAATCTAAAAAACAAACGACGATTCCGAAACTCAGTCTCAGTTGAACATTCGCCGCGAAAAGACGACGAGAAGTTGCTCCACACAAAATCCCTTGCAATTAGCACAACAAAATGAAGTGCCTAGCTCTGGTCGTCCTTTTGGCTCTTTTGGTCACCCTCCTTGCAGGATCCTCGGAGGCCAGCTACTGTCCCTGTGATCTGAAGACCAAAGCCACGCAGATCTGTGGCTCCAATGGCGTCACCTACCAAAATCGCTGCGAATTTGAGTGCACACAGCGTGACTATAGGAAACTAGGACGTTCCCTAAACGTCCGTAAGGAGGGACAATGTTAACGCAATTTGGGAATATTTACTTATATACTCATCAGTTATGGTTTCTACTACAAAAGATATATTAGTGCTGTGAGATTATCAACAAAAATATACATATACTCATCAGATTTCAAAATAACTTGATTTTATAACACAATTGTTACCTATGAATATTAATAAATAATGTGAAATTATTAATCTTTAATGCAAGTAATTAATCATACTTTTTATTCTTCAGTTTTTTGGTATTTTCTATTATAGGAGAACAAGAAAATAATTTATTTGAAAAATTAGTAGCTAGCTTATCTTATTTTTATCAATGCTGTTATTGTTTGTCTTGTTTCATAAAAAGTCTGTTTAAACAAATTCCTTTTGTGAGTTGACAGAATATAAGACTGCATTGTTCAGCTTAATGTAAACAAGTTGAAGTCCAGCAGTTCTATATACAGTTGCTATTTATTTATTTCCATTATATTCCCATTTCACCTATACTTAAATATTTTCTATTTACCACACATCATAATAAAGAGAAACTCAGTTCCCAATTCAATTTAAAATTCAGAAATGATTTATTTTTAATTTGAAAAATCTAGAACCTACTGCAGTTTTAGCAAATAAAAATACATTCGATTTAGACTCTTATCTGGTATGAAAATCAGTTTCTCAACAACCTCAATTATATTATACAACCGTAAGTATGCAAATAACGCCATTCAATGCTAATTAAAAGCTGCGCCGAGTGCGTCATCACCTCAGTTAATCATTTTGGGGTGGCTGTCGTTCCCATTGACACTGAATCGAAGTGGATTTTGGCCACGTTTAAACAGTCGCCTCACGCACATCAATCAAATTTATGCATAATTAATCGTTTGTCGCGAGCGCTTCGATTCGAGAATCCCCCGAGAATTGCCGATGGCTGATGGCAGGGATGTGATTTATTAACTTGGCGCAGTGACTTGGACTAATTGAATGTCAGGACGTGCGACACAAGGACCTAGTATTTTGCTGCATATAAACCAGAGCAGAGCGCCACCACTTCAAGTGGCCAAGTAATAACAAGAGCCACTGCATGGCTAATAAAGGTAACAGGCCACATTTATGAGGTGTGGTCGAGCGACTACCGTTCGCCGCATTTATTACAGGAAGCTGTCAGCTGCCTGGAATTTGGCTAGCCAGAATGTTATTAAAAAGATAATAATGAACGTTGGAACGGGTTGAATCACGGCACTAAATGGCGTTTATCTCGGGAGCGGGTAACAAGAAGCTTCACCAGAATTATCCAAATTAGAAATGGTATCACACCATGAGATAAACAAGAAGGTGGGTCATAAAAAGTGAGTTGTACTTCAAACAACAGAACCAAGGAATTTCGAGTCTTTATTTTTATACCCTCTCTTCCAAGGTATGCTAATTGTAGTTCATAGCTCGAAACGCACTGAAGGAGTCATTTCCAACCCTATAAATCAAATATATTATTGATCAGCATCGAAAGTCGAGTCGAACTAGCTATGTCCTGTAAAAATTTATTTGTTTCAAAATTTTTGAAATTGTTTAAGGTAAAATTGTCAAAAATTACCAAAATATTAATATTAATTTTTTAATACCTTAATTGAGTTTGCTGTTTTATGTATTCAATAAAACTATCATAGGAAAGCTTTTCGAATATAAATTAATGTTTTATTGCCTTAGTTGAGAGGTCTTTTAGTTTGAATTTGTTGAAAAATTTTCGTTTAAAATATATATAAATATGGGCTTAAAAATGCTGCTATTTAGTTATAATTAATTTCCGATACTATCCTTTAATTCAAATGCAAAATGCAAAGGTATGTTTATGTTTAAATACAGAAATTTCATTATGTACTTTCTTTATAAGACTTTGAACATCTAAAATTACCATAGCCTTTGACATATTTCAAACCATACTTAATTCTTACAATATTTTAAAGCCGTTTCGATTAAAATAGAACAGAATTTAAGCTTTTTCCAACCTTACTAACCCTTTTTAAAACTTAATTTTATGTTCAAATCAATAAGCGAAAAGTCCCCGATTAAAATTAAACCCTTTTTCCAGCAAATATCACAAATTTGATGCAAATTCGTGCTAATATCGAACAAGTAGTATCAGTCATTGCCTTAACTGACGGTATATCGATCTGTGCCCCAATCCGATGATATTATAATATTGTGTCAAAAGAGGATTGCCCTGCCACTGCTCCTCCAGTCAGTCATAACAATAAAGTCGAGATATCAAAGGTCATATGGATAAACGAAAAAAACAAGCGAGTCCATATGAAAATTTACATGTGGAACCTACTTATGACAACAAACCCGACAATCTCTACAAATGCCAACAAACCTGGCGTTGTTGTAATCGATTTGTGATAACAAGTATTTGATAAGCGTAAACGTATTGACAACATCAAATAGCAGGGCCCAAAAAAATAAACCAAAAGATAGGCAGAGCTCAAGCCCAAGGGTTGTGCCAAAAAGTGAAATGGAAAAGCGGTGGGGAGGAAAAGCGTAGCATATGTTTAGGCGCGTGTGCCAAATTCGTAAATATCTGGGATTAGTGGGAGCTCGATTTTTAATATGCCAAGCAGCCGAAAATTTCGTTGATATGATTAAATATTTACATAATACAAAATTTAGGCTGTGTATTTATTTATTCGTGCTCGGGGAGCACGAAGGCCCGAAAGCCCTAAAATTGAAAAGTGCTCCGAACGCAACACAAAAAATACAAATAAAAAAAGGAAAACGTTAAATCCGCCCCTCTCACAGGATATGTCCTGGCACAAAAGGCTTCTCGCAAAGGCAATTCAATCAGCGTCGCGACATGAAAGCTAAACCTCGTTGTCCTGCCAGCAGCCGCCCCCACAGACAGGTGAGACAGGTGAGTGGTGAGCTGGCACAGTTTTGGCGGGACAGACGGCGGATTAGCCGATGCTTCCCCTGTAAAACATTTCGCTTTAACTTTTCACTTTCCGAACGGTTCGCATTTTCCCAAGGGGAGGTGCGGCCTCGAAATTACAGCGAATTTCCTTCGCTTTGATTCCGGAGCGCCAAAGGAATCCCAATGTGAGCAATGAGCCACGCCCCGTGTCAAACCCTTTTCATGTCCTGGCAAAAAGCGGGGAAAATTATGCCGAGTTTTGGCCTGTGTGATGATCAACGTGAAGATTTCAGCACATATTTGTGCTGGCAAAATTTCCAATAAACTCAGAGAACAGCCAGGAGCACTCGCAGGATTAACCTTGGCAGCCCTTTTGTTGCGCAAAGGCTAGCAAAATGTTTAATTAAGCTGCCAGATTCAGTTCTGGTTGAAAGTTCCAAGGAGTTGGAAGAGAATCATGTCCCCAGTTTGGTTGTCATGGTCACGCCAGGGAAGTTCGCGGCTTCCAGGAGAATAAATGGAGATAGATAAACGGGTAGGGAAGTGCCTCTGATAGAAGTAAATGGTAAATTCTGTCATTTAGGTAAATGATTGCCATGACATTGTGAGTTAAATGAATACATTTACTAATAATTAATGCCTTGAAGCAGGAAGTTAATTAGTTCTGTCGAATTCCTCTAATATTAGGTTAATTCTTAAATTATTATGTCTACATGATCACAAAAACATTTAAATTTGATACTGCATTTAGTATTGTATCATATTTTTTATATACGCTTTAAATTATTTCTTAAAATATTGTAGCATCTTTTCCAATTCAACCTTCATTGATCCCTCAATTTGTTAAATCTATAAATAAATGAGTTATACAAAGCCTACTTCCGTCCTTCCTTCCCATCAATGATACACTTCCAATGTTTCCCCTTGAAAGGTGAGTACATTTTCCGCTGTTTGACCAACTGGCCAGTTAATCATTAAATGGGAGAGTAATTTCAGTCAAACACTTTTCATACTATTGCAACAATTGGTCAAATATTTGAGTGATGGCAAATCGCCAAAGCAAATAAACAAAACCGGAATTGAAAAGCCGGCTGAGGTATAAAAGGCCGCCGCACTTAATTGATAATAGAAAACTCATTCAACAGTTGACTGAGATGAGTGTCATAAAAGTATTAACTCTAGTTTTGAGTGTGGGTCTAGTCCTGGCCCACAATCACCATCAGAAAAGGAGCAGGACGCGAAATACAACTGGTGGCAGCACGAGGTCTTCTATCAGATCTACCCGAGGTCCTTTCAGGACAGCAATAATGATGGTATTGGGGATCTACGAGGCATTACATCCAGGCTGGAGTACTTTAAGGAGACGGGCATCACGTCCGTGTGGCTGAGTCCCATCTATGAGTCGCCCATGGTGGACTTTGGGTATGATATCTCAAACTATACGAACATTCAACCGGAATATGGAACCCTCGAGGACTTTGATGTCCTGATAGCCAGGGCAAATCAATTGGGCGTGAAGGTTATCCTGGACTTTGTACCGAATCATAGCTCAAACAAGCATCCTTGGTTCATCAAGTCAGTAGCTAGAGATCCGGAATACGAAGATTTCTACGTGTGGGAAGATGGCATTCTTACGGCGGATGGTACTCGGGTTCCGCCCAACAATTGGTTGTCGGTTTTCTCCGGATCCGCCTGGGAATGGAACGATGACAGACAGCAGTATTATCTGCGGCAGTTCACCTATGGCCAACCGGATCTTAACTACCGGAACCCAGCCGTCATCAAGGCTATGGATGATGTGATGCTCTTCTGGTTGAACAAGGGAATCGCCGGCTTTCGCATCGATGCCATTATTTATATCTACGAAGATGAGCAGTTAAGGGATGAGCCTACCAGCGGAGCCACCGATGATCCAAATTTGGAGAACTATTTGGATCATATATATACCAGGAACCAACCCGAGGATTACCTTCTCCTGCAGCACTGGCGTCAGCTCCTGGACAATTACTCGGCCACCCATGATGGTCCTCTTAGGATCATGATGACTGAGGGTTATGCCTCGGTGGCCCAACTGATGGAATACTACGAGGATGCGAAGGGAGTTCAGGGTCCCGAGTTTCCTTTTAACTTTGATTTCATCACCGAATTGAATGAGAACTCGACGGCTGCTGATTTCGTCTTCTACATTCAGAGGTGGCTCATCTATATGCCACATGGCCATGTGGCCAATTGGGTGATGGGTAACCATGACAATCCTCGAGTGGCCTCGCGATTTGGACCAAAGACTGTGGATGCCATGAATATGCTGCTGATGACATTGCCAGGCATTGCAATTACTTATAATGTGAGTAATAATATGTTTAAGATAATTTATATTATGATATACCCCATTTTAGGGTGAAGAACTGGGCATGACGGACTACAGAGACATCAGCTGGAGTGACACTGTCGATCAACCCGCCTGCGATGCTGGAAAGGATGACTACAAGTGGATCTCCCGAGATCCTGAACGCACTCCCATGCAATGGAACGATGGACTCAATGCTGGTTTCTCCAATGCCAGTCACACTTGGCTGCCAGTGAATCCTAATTACAGGGAACTGAATTTACGCAATCAGCAGGTGGCCAGGCGAAGTCACTACAAGATCTATCAGTCCCTGTTGAAGTTGAGACAATTACCAGTCCTTAAGAATGGATCCTTTGTACCGGAGGTGGTCAATCGCAGGGTGTTTGCTTTTAAGCGGTGAGTTTAAAAGTATTTTAAACTAATTCAGAAATAACACTAGTCATCTATTATTATAGTTAGAAATTAAGTTCAATTATTCACGTAACCACATCCGAATTATCTGCAATTTAATTTGTTTACTACTTGGTTAAATAACTTTAACTTCAATTATATTCCCAGAGAGCTAAAGGGAGAGCACACTCTCCTGACCATCCTGAATGTGAAGAACCTCACCGAAGTGGTGGACATCAGTGACTTCATCGATCAACCCAACCGACTGAGTGTCCTGGTGACTGGAACAGAATCACAGTACCGTGTGGGAGATCGACTCAAGGCCGAGGCCATTGAACTGGCCCCCTATGAGGGTCTGGTCATCCAGCTGAACAAGCGAAAGTAATCAACAGACAACTATTTAGTATTCAGTATTAAAACACGAGAAAGTTTTTCCCCATTGGCCACGCAGCTCTTCTACTTTTCATTTCAAATGTATCTCGGGCGGGCAATCTAATTCGAGTTTCCATTTCATTTGCTCCGACAAAAAACACATTTCCATTCCGTTTACATTACATTTTAATTGAATTGAGAGTACTTGCCAGCGGACCTGCTTCGTTCAACTTCTCTTGAATTCTGGCACTTTCTCCGCGACTAATTCCTCGGCTTCAATTCAAAGTCGTAATTCATAATTGTCGTTCTTGTCGGGTTTTCTGTGGGTCCCCTTTTTTTGATGAATGGTCGACCGCAATTTAATTAAAATTTGGTGTTCGAGGTGGCATAAATAAATGCGGTTGGACTGAAGGCTTTGTTTTGATTTTCAAGTTTACAATGCCAATTTAAAGTGGCTTAAAAGCAGATGAGCAAAGTTTAGAAGATGCTGTGGTAACCCATGGGTATATATGTAAGTGATGATTTATTGATAATAAATTACTGCTTGCTTGGGGAGAAGTTTTTGCTTAATTTGTTTGCTTTTCATAAAATTTGTTGCTTTTCATAAAAACTTAATTAGCAGAGCAGTGGGACTTCATTAGAATGATTTTCTATTAACTTTTAAATAGTTTAACTGAGACGTTTTAACTTTATCATATACAGTTTAGTCGGGAGCTAATTTATTTGAAAAGATTTAAAAATAAGCCTTGTTGCAAACAAAAATAATGAAGGGCATATTGATGTATTTTTAGAGCCATTTAGGTAAACATTTTTAAAAGCGTAGAATTATTCAAATAAATGTTAATAAATTCATGTTATAAAAATAGTTAAAAACCCAATTACCTATTTTTAAAGCAATCTTATAAATATTTATAATATCTCTTAATTATTTTTTGTTCCACCTTTACTCTCTGAAACTTATGGTTTTGTGGATCGTAAGCTTAATTCAACAGCTGATCACAATCACTTCCACAAAAGCTTTTCAGTCGATCACCGGCAGCTGCTAAAATTGCTCACAAAAGTGCAAATAATTTGCTTTTAGTTTTATTTACAAATCTTTGAGGTGAGCATCGGATCATTCCGATCTGAGAGATCTATAAAAAGCCACTCGGCTGCCAACCATCAGTCGTTTTATTATAAAATCAAACACGTCAAGTGCAGTGTGGCGTAAAATTGGGAGAAATAATTTTGTTTACTCATTTAATTTGTCTCTCGCCATTTGTTATTGTGCAATTTATTTGTTGATTCGAGCTGATAAAAATCTTCCCCACTCAATTATAGAATTAATGCGACCGGTGTTAATTAGACAAAAAGGCTAATGCAATAATAATTTTAATTATGTGTTTGGTGTTGCTTTAAAAGTGGCTGTCTATCCGGTAACTGTGGAACATATCGAATCGAAAACTTGGCCGAAATGTACGCTCCTCAACTCATTCGAATCCTTCTTTTTAGTCTGCTGTGCTTGGGATCCGCCATGTCAGGATTGGTGAAAAGTGACACGGAGGACTTTATTGATTGGTGGCAACACACTGTCTTCTACCAGATCTACCCGAGGTCTTCAAGGACAGCGATGGTGATGGCATTGGGGACTTGAAGGGCATTACCTCAAAGCTGCCTTATCTGGCGGAAACGGGCATCACGGCCACCTGGCTCAGTCCCATCTTCCAGTCGCCCATGGTGGATTTTGGTTACGATATATCGGACTACAAGCAGATTCAGCCGGAATATGGCACCATGCAGGACTTTGAGGAACTCATAGACACTGCCTATGGTTTAGGGATCAAAATCGTTTTGGATTTTGTCCCCAATCACAGCTCGGATCAGCACGAATGGTTCAAGAAATCGGCAGTCAAAGAGCCCGGATTCGAGGACTTCTATGTGTGGCAAGATGGCATCCCTCAGGATAATGGCACCCGGCTGCCTCCGAACAACTGGCAGTCCGTCTTCTACGGTTCAGCCTGGGAATGGCACGAAGGACGACAGCAATTCTATTTGCATCAGTTTACCAAAGAGCAACCGGACTTAAATTTCCGCAATCCCAAAGTGGTCAAGGCCATGGACGATGTGATCCTCTTTTGGCTCAACAAAGGCGTGGCTGGCTTCCGCATTGATGCAGTTAATCATCTATTCGAGGATGAGGCTCTGAAGGATGAACCATTGAGTGGAAAGACCCAGGATCCGCTGTCCTATGACTACAGCAAACATATCTACACCAAGGATCTGCCAGAGGTTCTGGAAATGATTCAACACTGGCGGCAACTGCTGGACGATTTCAGTTCCAAGAATCCTGACCGACCCACACGCATCATGATGACGGAGGCGTATGCAGGACTCACCCAACTGGCAGACTACTACGAGGACCACAATGGGGTAAGGGGCTCGCATCTGCCCTTCAACTTCCACTTCATTACGGACGTGAAAGGCGACGCGGATGCGCGTGACTTTGTCTACAACGTGGAGAAGTGGCTGATCTACATGCCGCGCGGGCATGCGGCCAACTGGGTCATGGGCAACCACGACAACCCCCGAGTGGCCTCCAGATTCGGTGCATCCAGTGTGGATGCCATGAACATGCTGCTGCTCACCCTGCCCGGCGTGGCAGTCACATATAACGTGAGTTTCTGTAGTTCTGTTCCTGCCATGTGGTCTTTGGTCCATTCGCTCTTTTGGTTCGTTGCAGGGCGAGGAGCTGGGCATGGAGGACTATCGCGACATCAGCTGGCAGGATACGGTGGACCCGCCGGCCAGAAATGTGGGAGAGAAGCTTTACAAGGAGGTCTCCCGGGATCCAGAGCGAACACCATTCCAGTGGAGTAATGAGGCGAATGCGGGTGAGTTTCTGCGAATAAGTTATGTTACACTCAAAAATGCAGAAAATAAATTATTAATAATTCCCTTTCTCTAAAGGCTTCTCGACTGCCCCCAAGACCTGGCTACCCGTCCATCCAATTATTTGGAACTGAACTTGGAGGCACAGAAGGCGGCCAATAAAAGCCATTACAGTGTCTACAAGGACCTCATAGAACTGAGAAAATCGGCCATAATGCGGCAGGGACGTTTCAACATTGAACCCATTTCACGTTGGGTGTTTGCCTTCAAGCGGTAGGTAACCAAGCCAAGGAAGGATAAGGTTTTCCAATTCTAGGAAATAATTTTGCAGCTCCTATCCCAACTTTGAAACGATAATTACCATCATAAATGTGAGTGACAAGGAACAGTTGGTGAATCTCTCAGAGTTTATTAATCGTCCCAAGAAATTGGTTGTTGAAGTTTCCGGAGTGGATTCCAAATATGAAATGGGGTAAGTTTTTAAGGAATATATCAATTTCCTTTCCTTCATTTCCCGCTTTACACAAATCACATATCAGTATCACAATTTTCACACTATTCTCTCTGTGTATTCCCGCTGCAGTCAATCCCTGGCCGCAAGTGCATTGTCCCTGGCCGCCCGCGAAGGACTCGTCTGCAGGCTCGTCTAGCCGGAATGGGATTAGAGGAATTACCAGCTGATGGCGACAAAAGTTTCCTCTTTAATTGCATTTCCAGTTCAAAATGTCACGCGATTGAATATAAAATGGGTGAAAATTAATGACTCTACAACGTGCGCTGGTCTCTCTCAGTCTCTGTGTGTTTTGTGCAATTTTCAGATTGAATTTAACGCTTTCCCAGTGCTAATGAAGGACCGGAGAGTCCAGGGCCTGGGTTCGGGTCCGGTTCCGGCTTCTGACCGGAAAAAGTGGCCACATCGTCGCCTGTTCTTGGCAACTTGCCCGGAACTTTGTTCCAGTCTCTCTTTCACTCTCCTCGTTGGCGCCTGTAATTTTTCATGTTTGGACGATGTAGGACTTCCACATAGAGAAAACCAGCAAACACACAAAAGAAAAAAGCGCAGATTTATGGAGCTGGAGAAGATTTTTCTTGCATTTTTTTAAATGTCGCAACGCAGGGAATATGAAATATTCTGCAGGCCAAAGTTTATAAATGACGTTTAATAACTGAATTAAATGTTTGTAAATGCCAACTATCGCAAAAACTTTTGAGTATGCTCAATAACTTGTTGGAAACTTTTTGATTGCCGCCCTCGATGCTTGGGAAAACATTTTGCCAACAAATGACAGTTGTTTGGATAAGAATTTAATAGTTTGTGATTGTTATAAAAGAGAAGTGTAGTATTTTATAGTAAAATATATTTATTAGAATATTTTCGTGGACTTGGGAGATTTTATTCTGAATGCTTGAGATATCTAAAAGGGACTAAGCAGCAGTCAAAAATTTGTTGTAAAGCTTTAAATCGTTCTTATTTATCATAAATCAACCAGCTTACTATTTTAATGACTAACAAAATAATTTGTAAAATATTTATGACCATATAGTTACCTTTATTTAAATACTCTTCACTTTATATGCAGCTCCCCATGTAGCTGTTTATATTTTTCCTAGCAAATTAAGAATTCTCCTGGGGCTTAACCCATTCACACAAGTTTAAACATTTCATTGCCAATACGCCACGTTGAACAAGGGTATTTGGGGCATGGAGTCTTTCATCGGCTTACGAGTATATATTGCTGTCTATATGCCCCGCTGAGTTTCATTTCGTTTCACCAAGAGAAGGTACTATATATCTTTTTCCCACTCCTCAGTCAGCCTCACCAGTGTTGAGTGCGGTATTAAATATAAACTATCTGAATAATTTAGCGACAGGATTCTGGTCGAGGAGGCCTCTGAACTTAATCTGCCCCCCGGAGGTGGAATTGTGTTAAGTGAGCGCAGTTTGGCGGTAATGAGGTAAGTTTCGGCCCTGGCCCTGGTTTTAGACAACTCTCGGTGTTGGCCCAATCATTAAGTTTATATATTCCCGCTATTTTCAGCCAACAGCGACGCAACCTGGTTAAGCAAATCATACAGTCGGCCAATGTGGTGCTGGTGGGTCTGCTGGTCTATAACTTGTGGCGTCACAAATGGACCAAAGTGAATTTCAATCAGCATCAGCAGTTTTGATTGATTTTCCCCCTCTTCTCTATGTGTGTGGATTGATTGATTGATTAATTAATTAATAAAACGAACATCGGCTTAAATGTCATTAACAGTTGGCGGCGACTAACGACTCCTGAACTGAACTGAATGTGGCCGATGGGATTTGCAAATTTAATTTCCTCCACCAGCGGATCTGTCAAGTGGCGGGAAAGGAAAAAAAAGTAAGGTGCGGAGGCGGCGGTGATAGATGAGTTTTTCTTTGGCGGAAAATGGATTTTCAAGTGGTTTCACAGCTTTCGTTGAAGCATTGTACTGGTAAATTTATTAGCAGTTTTTATAATTGGATTATCAATATAAAGGGAATTATTTTAAAATGATATTTATAATATTGATTTAAGTAATGTAAGTAACAGTTACCTAATATATAAATATTGTCTCTCTCATTCTATCTCTTTCCCTTAATGAAGCCACTACTTAAACAGCCAAACAATTCCTCTAACAAACTACAATATTTATCCTTTCAATGTCTGCAAAGACACTTATCTTTCACACTCTGTGCGCCAGCAAATAAATGTAAGTGTTATCCTGCAAGTGGAAACTGCATCCGTCTCTATTAGTTTACAAATCCCAGCCTTGATCCGGAAAAGCTGCACTCGAACACTAACAAACTTGATAAGTTATCCACGCCTCACAGAGTTCCAAGTGCGGGGGCAAGGACTTTTGCAGTGAATGGAAAAGAGGGAAGTGTCAACAATCGTTCTTATTCAATTTGTTGCCGCTTTCGAATAGTTTCGCGATTTCCAAGGACTGCCGCGCAGTTGGCAGGCAGCCCTCGTTACGAGTTTAACGCATTGATGCTTCGGAACAGGAGGCATCCTCCGGAGCAGACTAGTTGGCCCAGTGAGTGCCAGTTCCTGGCAAGGGAAATAGAAGTAGAAGCAAAAACAAAAGCAAAAACAGAAGGAGCAGCAGCATCAACATCACTGCCAGGAACCGGATATGCCAATAAAATTACAGCCAAGTGCCTGCAAATTAACCAGAGCGCAAAACGGCAAGGACAACCAGGACCTCCATGAGTGAACGATTGACTTGGAAATAGGAGCTCAGATCAACCAGGAAATGTGTTCCGAAATTTAGAAAATGTTTATCTACATTTTTTTTGAAAAATCGATCACAGGTTTGACTATTTGTGAAGGTTTAAGTCTTGTTAAAATCATTTAAAATAATATCCTGCTCTGTTAATTTGCTGTTTTGCAGCCTGCTTAATAATATTTAATCCGTCTCTCTTTATTCTTTGAAACATCAGCAGCTATTGGAAGTTTTTTGTAGCAACTGTAATTTGCAACTTGTTTTTGGAGTGCTTAAAAAGTTTAAATTACATTTAAGTTTACTTAGTGAAACATTTGCGCTAAACAAACTTCAGACGCCACAACGTCGTGCTGCAAGGGGACACGAAAATTCGAGAGAAATTCAGTTGCAAATTATGGCAAGAACACCTCAACGAATTTGCCAGGACAACGACGTTGCGTCGTCGCGCTGTCTGGCTTCTGTTGTCTGACATTTGAGCGGCGGGTGCAAAAGGACTTCAAGCGAGTGTGTCTCTGTGTGTGTGTGCTTAAGCCTTTGTGCTAGTTAGCTAAATTGTAGCAAACATTTTCGAAAATCTCTGACAGGAGGCGGTTCACCTTTGTTCGCCAAGAGTGGCAACCTTGCGGGCATCCTTTTTCGCCAGATTTTCAGCCTGCGCCTTTTGGCGCATGTGTTTCTGCTGTTGGCAGCCGCCATTTTCGCCTTTATCCTTTATTTTATGTATTTTAATACTCAGTGTTTGTGGAATAAGGGAGTATTTTTATTGAAATATATGTTTTTGATGTAAAATTAAACTGTGTAGTTGGAGAAGGTAATCATAAATATTTGGTAGAGAGGCTTTAATTATTAGCTGATATTATTCAAATTCAATTTGATATATAATATAGCAATAATATATATTTTAAATTTATCATCTCATATTAAAAAGGGATTTTTGAGACTCTTACTTCTTTTAATTCTTGATACGAGGTATCTCAAAGTCGTGCCACTCTGCTACTCCCTTTCTTTCCCTTATTTTTTTTTGGACTGTCGGCAACATAAATTTTGCAGACAGTCGTTGGCGCCAGTTTTAACTGTTTTTAATTAAAAAATCTCCAACGTTCCGGCCATTGGTAATCAGTTTTATGTCTGAATGTGTATGTGTGTGCCTGTGCCTTCCGAAGGGTTTAACGAAAATTGATTTTAAGCCTTTCTTTCTCTCTTTTATTATTATGGCTGTCGCTGACACTTGAAAGAAAAAGTTGGCCCGCAGAGACTAAGGCAAATTGATTGCCAATTGAGAGGCCATTGCCATAAAAGAAAGACACGGTGGGGGACATCAGCAAAAAAAAAAAAAATAAAATAAGGGACAAGAAGGGAGAAAAGATGCATATATTATCCTTTAAAGTATGGCAAGGATAACCCACCCACATGGCAATAAAATTTTATATCCGTATGTGTGTCTCTGCCTTCGTAGCTGCCTTTGCCGCATTCCTTAGCATTCGGAGAATTTTTCGGAGCGTTTTGTATTTGAGCGGAATTTATGCAAATTTGATTAAATTTCCTTGTCGCTTTTGGCCAGAAAGGCTGATGTACATAGCTTTGGGCCTGGGCCCAGGTCAAGGCATCTGAGCTATGCGTTCTTTTATTGCCGCGCCTGAGACTATGCCATGGATTGTGGTAGTTCAGGTTTTGAAAGACTGCCACGAAGTTACCAGAGGCGTTAATGTTTTTTAAATTATTAGAAAAGTTTTCATTGTTCAACTCGCAACGGGTGAGCCAGTCCCTTTTTAATTAAATAAGTTTTATTTTTATGGCCTTTAGTGTTTAAAAAGTATATGGTAAAAATAAATAGAAAGAAAAAAAGGGTGTGGGAATTCTTTGTTTTTAATTCTTTTGTGCCAACCCTAACCTTGTTCATTTATCGATACCGCAAAGCTCCCTTTAATCGATCTTCGTTAATGACTCCTTTCTCTGCTATCCCTATTCTTGTTTGATTTAATTACTTAAAACTCCTTTCCAAAATTAGCCAAGGCTCGAACGAAAACCCATTGAACCACAAATTAAATGAGCCACTTAACCCTTTCGCTTTTTCTTTGCAGTATTGGTTGGGGGTTTTTGAGTGGGGGAAACGGAAATCGGAAATGGGAAATGGGAAAAGCGAAAGTGTAGGGTTTGGAAACAGCTGCTGCTGTGTGGCGGTACATCAATTAGTCTCCAGCCACTGGCTCGTTGCTGTCGATGCGTCCAACTAGTCGGCCATACGCTTGATCAGCCAAGCGCCGCTTTCAGCCAGACAAAAACCAAACAGACTTTGTTCCCGCCCATCCATCCACGGACGAGCAATCCTACAGCCATCCATCCATTCATCCATCCAGCTATCCCTTTCTCAGAAAGGAGGCAAAACAAATCGAGGGTCATAACCAGTAAAGGGGCGAAAGACACAACAGCCGCGACAGGGCCAACAACAAGTGTAATATGTCAATTGAAGGACACTTCCCTTCGAGCACTTGCTCACAGTCGAACACACACAAACACTCGACTATTTATTGCAACGCTGTCTGCGCTGTCGCCGCAGGATATGCTACGGGTATTTGCAAAATATTGCAGCGCCCATAAATTGAAAGCCAAAAGGACAGGCGGCGGCCGCCAAGCGACTTGGCCAAAAAGGCACAGAGGGGTGGCCAATCGGAGGCGTGGCTTTTGGGGGCCGAGGGCTCAAACAAGACTTGGCCTGGCTTTGTCTCAAAATCGCCGCACGATTTGTGGCCGCTACGTGACCGGGCAAGTGAGCCCACCCTAGGACATGCCAGGACATTCGGACTCGAATGGGTCGTCTCGTTGGTTGGGGGCACAGACCTGACCTTGGGCCAAAGGAATGGCAAAATGTTTAATTCCAGCCTGGAACTATTTCGGAAAAAGGATGAAAATTAATGTCATGATGAGATTTAAGGATAGCCAGGGTTTTTAGAATTTAAAGACGCTTTTTATAATTCTTTAAAAAGGGTTTAGAAAATTATATTAAATATGAACTTCTTAATGGAAAGTTAAAATATATATTGAATTTAAGAACAACAAAGATGCATTTTATGATGATAATTATAATGATTTTATACCCATTTCTAGATATTTTTAAATAGAGTATGCATATTTATTAACCTAATATAAACTAACACTGGAAAGCTTCCTGATTGGAAATTAGTCAATTTTTGACTAATCTATGATGGATTTTTTCTGCAAAGAATAGAAATTTCGCTTTCCCGAATCTTAGCATCCTTTTTTTTTATTATTTTCAACACTCTCTGTATTAGAAAGTTATAATTTATAAATAATTCATCTGTTTTAAAAACCCATCCCTTATGGTAGACCTTTTCCATTTCCCACTCAAGAGAAATGCCAGAATGAAAATTCGAAATTGCATGCGTGTTTCACCGAATACCTAATGCACTCTATCTTAGTGCCTGCCAAATTCATTTCCTTCGAAATCCAATTCATGAATTTTAATCTCAAATGGACACAGGGGCTGCTGCTCTTACTTACATTGTGGTCCCGGTCAGTTTATTAGCCAAAAACACAGCAGACCAACGACCGGCAGCCATGCAAACTAAGCCAAAAAGGGGTCGGGAGATGCTTGGTCCCAGCGAGAAAATACAACAGAAAGGGTGCTGCGGGGCAAAAGAAAAACCAACATACATATGGCCATCCAACAGAAGGCAGTTATCAAACTTGGCCAGAATGGCTGCCACTCAAAACGGGACCGGACCCCAAAAACCTTGTTTACCTGCTCCATAGACTTTTAAATTTTCTGTTCCCTACCCTTGGCATTGTAATGTTGGGAAGTTATATAAGACTTCCTTATTGTCTGGTATATAATTTCATAGAATTTAATTATATAAATTACAAAAAGAGAATTGAAAACTATTTTGATATTTTAAGAAATACCTTACACCTTTTATAACTTAATTTAATAATAATAACTTTTATAACTTAATTAGAATTTAACCATAGTTTTGATAACCAAAGTATACCCTTGATTTTCTATAGAACAAGGTACATATACCCCTTGTGTACACATTTTGCTGGGCATCTAAGTGATGGTAGCCAGGAAATCTGCGTGGCATATGCAGAAGGCATAAAAATGTTCTCAAAATTCTTACCTCAACGCCAAAGCAGGGCCAACAAGAGAGTCCTAAATGAATTGTTGTACCCGGATGATGGCATAGAGAGAGAGAGGAATGGAATGGCGATCCGAGGGGAGCTCCTGGTTGGGTCAGGGTGTGCGGAGGACTTAACTTTTATAATAGCCCAACTCGTTGGAAATTCAATTTCATTTTCAATTTAATGCTGCAACGAGCCACGGACGTACCCGCACTCGCTCCGGAATGGATTGCTGCCTTTCTTTTTTTTTTTTGTGTGGAGCGCCCTTTTTGTTGCCATTTGAATTGACTTACCTGAAATGAAATGATAGAAAAATAAGTTATAGACTTATACATATACACACGTATTATTTTATGCGTTCCCGGGGAGAAGAAAAATGAGTTGTATGAAATTAAAACTTGAGCTCCAGACTCGCTTTGGGTTTTTATTTCCTTTCTTATTCAGCACGAAGTTCAGGTGGGGCCAGACCAAAGCCAGGAACAAAGGACATGGCGCCAAGGTGACTCCTGTGCACAGTGGTCGGGGATCGTGAATAAGGTTAGGAAATTAAAAACATTAAAGCTTACTTGTTAATTTATTCATCTTATAAAATATACCACTTTTAGATTTATTAATTAAGATATTTTAGTATTAATACTTAAATACTTTCAATACAAAGTAATAAAAGTCTGGAGAGTATTTTTAATGGTTATAAAATTATTTTCACTTTAAGGTTTACATATAATTAACTTGAGAATCTGAAAGAGTTCCCAATTCGATTTACCAGTGACACTCTCTTTATTCTTGGAAAAACCCGTTTTAACAATTTCCCTAAGTAGGTCAGACCTATTGTGAGCGCTTTTCTTAAGTTTTCCTCATTGTAATGGACCCACATCTCCCTCAGTTCCATCTGCTTTTACTTCCATTTTTTTTTGCCTTCCTTTGTTCGACCTTTCTGCTGCGTGGATTGGCTTAAATGGCACTTCAGCTGCCCATATTCCACAGCCGTGCAAATCCCGTGTGACTGCCACTTACCTATGACATAGGAGTACCCGTCCAGCGTGAGGACGCACTTGCGGGTGGTGGTGCCACCAAGGACGCCTCCGAGGACACTGACGCCGATGCCGGAGCCGGAGGTATTGCCTCCGCCGGACGGGTACCTGGTGCCGCCGGCGCTGCTGAGCCGTCCCGCCTTGCCGAGACTGGTGGACAGGGCCACCGGACTGCTGGCCTCGCAACTATTCAGACTCTCGCGCCGCGGCTGGGCCTCAACCCGGTGAACTCATCCCGGCGATTGCCACTCGATACCAGGCCGTCGCTGGAGTGATCACGTTTCGCGTCGCGATCCGTGTGACGCATCCGATTGCGTGGACTTCGGGCAGCGGGTATAGCAATGGAGGAGGCGGTGGCCCCCGCCGGAGCGGCAGCGGTGGAACCCTCCTCCTCCTGGCCAATGTTCAAGGTATGCGGTTTGTCGCGTCGCGTGGGCGGCGTCTCGTCCAATGTGTCGCCCATTTTATACGATTCAGATTCAGATTCAGATTCAGATTACACGCGCTCGGAGTAAATCGGTGGTGGAGTTGGATTATAATTCGAAATGCATTTTGGGAAACCGTGGGAAACTTTATTTTTTTTGCCTTGTCGTAGTCGTACGCCAGTTGTATTTGTATTTTTATTTATTTTTTATTTTATGTACACTCTTGAAATTTGCACTTTAAATCACAATTTTGTTTCGGAATTTTATGATGCCTTTTGTGATAAATAATATTCGAATCAGTTACAAATGAAAATTGAATAGTGATGGTGAAGCCAGGCGAAATAAATGATTGGCATGCTGAAATATTGCGCATACGCAGTGTGGTACCTCCACTGCAACTCGAAAAGGTTTGCTTAAATTGCAGCTAATCATAGAGCTTAATTTGTCAGATAAATGAAGAATTTATAAATTAAAGCAAATGGTTGATAATTGAATCTGAACCATATTTTACATTTAATTAAATAGAAAATATATTAACAAAGAATACTGAAATCCAAAATTCAGAACCAACTCATTTAATAGAAAATACATTTGGTATAATAAATACAAGATGTATCATATTTATTTATGACTTTTTGGCATATTTGCTTGACACCTTCCTCTCATTTCATTTTATAAAATGAATTTTCTAGTCTTTAGTTGAAAGAAATTTTTTTCCAGTGCACACAGCCTCGAATCTAATTGCACTTTTTGTTCTTGCTGTTGTCAATTATTTTGGTAGCTTTTCTGCTGCCTGTCCTCCCCTCGAGAGCTATGCCACTTGACTGTTTTGACTGACATTGTTTGGTGTTATTTGATTTCGATTTTATCGCCTGCCGTTGGTCACTTTGTCATTGGATTTTTCTGCATGTTTGTCATAATGCCCGTCCATTTATCAGAGAGATCTATCAATGCCAAATGGCTTTCAGCTTTCTCTTGTTTTATTTTTTATTGTTTGAATATATCTTGTGCAGCATTTTTTATTATTTTATGGATGACAACCATACAAATTTAAAATTTCCTTGCTGCTTCGTGTGTGGTCTAACCAAAATTATTTGTATAAATTTATATTTAGACAAATTTGAAGTATATTTCTGCCTTTGGCTGGTCACGTTCAGCGAATAAAGCGAAATGGCGACACTTTTAAGGCGTCATGTGCCCCGAAGGAAACAAGGCAAAAACTCTTTCTACTGTTGGCACGTGGCCTAAACGTTTCGGTCGGTTTGACTGGGCTAAAAAGACAGCTGCACTACGTGCCTTTTGCCTTTGGGGTAATGTTGCAGGTCTTTTGCGTTGTACTTGAAAAGGATTATTTGTTCAATGCGAAAAGCAGGGGAACTTCAATCATCATTAGCCACCTAATTAAAAAGGGGAACAAATGGCGCAACTGGGAGCGGGAATTTAATGAGAGCGCAAAAATATGCATAGAATGGCTTCTATGAAATATGAGTTAATTAATTACAAAATATATATTTGGCTTGCCTAATTAAAATGAAACAACATAATTTATTTAAGCAGATAACATGAATTAAATATATTATTTTCAACTATTATTTTTAGATTAAATACAAGTTCTATCTAAATTTACTTCGCTCTAAATATACATAATTATTTTCAACCTGCAACATTGCCAGTTTATTTAGACTTTAATTAGCAAACAAAGTGGATTGTTTTTCCTTAAATTCAACTCTGACCCCAGCAAGGTAAACAGATGAATTCCAAATGATAATCATAAAATTTTAATTAAGCTTTTATGTACGTATAAATAATTCTCTTTGTTGTTGTCCGAGAGAATACCCGCATTGGGCGAGTGCCTGCCCTTTGCCTTTTGTTGTGCGTTTTGTGGTTAAGGCCATTGTCGGTGGTTGTCCACTCGATTGAGTGGTGCAAAATCGAGAGGGAAAATGTCAGGAGCAGCTGACGGGACTTATATAATCACCCAAAGCACTTGGACGCAATGCTGGTGGCTTTAAGTTTGCGTTTGCTTTAAGGAGCTTGGCGAATATTGCGCATACGCCGTGTTTATCAGCTTGCCTAATGAGGTATCAATAACGCCGCCTTTACGACTCAATTAACGAAAGATGTTCGACTGAAATCAATGCCAGCACTCTCGCTCCACAAAAATGAAATTATGACTGGGTCGAAAGAACATTTTGCGTTGCAATTTTTGTTAGTGGCATCATAAATCGAGAAATTCGCTTATCTTTGCGGTCAGCGAGGGTAGATAACCCTAAGGAGAGGCACTCTGAGTTCAGGGAACTCCATTTTGGGAATAAATTTAAAATCTATATGCAGTGCACAAACCCAGAGGGTTTTCTTTTATTATTATTGTTTTTTTTTGTCGGTCATTCATCTAGCCCTGCCCACATTTATTATTGTTTTTTTTTTGTTGGGGGAAAAAAGTTTAGCGACCCGCATAAATAATGCAGTATACTATAGTTTATCCTTCGTTTATCTGTTTATCAGCTTATATGAGCCTCTGTTCTCTTTATCCTTGATGAGTGACAAAAGTCAGAGAGCAGTCGAAAAGTTTCAATGAACTCCACGTTTTGTCTGTGTGACATTTTAGCCAGCATCGTAAACATGGCTATCTGGCTGATTTGCCTCCGGTTTGTTTTGTGTGCTTGCCTTGCCTTTTGTCATATTGATCTGACAGATGAAAGAGAGATGGAACTCAGACAATGAACACACACATTAGCCGGATAGTCGGAGCAAAGTCAATTATTTAATTAAAAGCTGTCACTTGCCACTGCTCAATGCGGCTGTTAATGTGGGCGTTGAAGCCAAGTTAAGGCGGGGTCCTGCCGCCCACATGAGTGTTTCTGTGGGTTCTTGGTATGGGGAAGGCGAACATTGAAAATAACAGGAGAATAATAAAACTTAAACAGCAAACAGCATCACATGGCAATAATTAAAAGCGCATACACCAGTGAGTCAACCAGAAAGGGTAAAGAAAATGTTGCCTGACAATACACACAAGCGGAAAAATAGCAGAGGAAAAACTATTGTACTAAATATCCATTAAAGGTTTTGTACTATTCAAAAGGCATTATTGGAAATGTTCTTTACATAGGGGAAAACTTGTAAGCGAAAATCTATATTTATTGTCAAAAATATAAGGAAGATCTTTAACAGGTTAATGATTGCCACCTTTGAAGTGTTTTAAAATAGTTTCTTTTTAATTGAAATTAACTACACATAGTTTCTAGTATATATGGACTATTATTAATTATATTTTTTTTAGCAAAAAAGGTGAGGAAATGCGAGCTCGAAATAGAGTTATCTATATGAAAAATATGTATCATTTAAATTATTTTATTATAATTAAATATAACTATTATTTGTAACCTCTTGAGGAACCCAAAACTTTTATCAGTGTAAATTAAATACAGCTGCATTGTAGTTTTCCTCATTTGCACACAAACACACAAACACACACACACACACACACTACGTTTTCCCCCCTTTTAATTGTTGTCACTGCCTCTTGACATGACCCGTTGATGTTCCTGGTTGTTGTAATTCCCAAGTTCTTATTCTTGCTGTTGTTGTGATAGATGGGGCCAGTGTGACGCCGTTGCGGGCTTGTCTCGACTCTTGTGTAAATAAAAGATGAGTTAAAGTATGATAGTTTGGATCGAAGAATGTTGCGCAGGACAACAGCAGCAGCAGCAGCAGGCCTGAGGCAAAAGGATGTCTCTGCTATGTGTGTGCTCTGACAGGACACCCGTTAATCACACGCACAACGCCGCATTCTGCGGTGGATCGATGCGAGATGCAATAAAAAGGCAGCAAGAAATTGCATGTAATTGAAGGGAAGAGCAGGAAAACAAACTGAGCGACAGAGGCGGAAGTGTGCTATAAATTTTCCAACTGCCTCGCGACACTCCAAGGAAAAGTTCACGAGAAAATGTGAGGGGAATTTCTTGACACACGCGGCTCATTAGCATTTTGGGGCAAGTGAATGAAGAGCTAGCTGCTCGGGGCATGTGAGTCCTCGGACTGTCTTGACTTTGTCCACACAACCTCATCATGGTCATTATTAGCTTCGGGAACCACATCATCAGCGGCATTTCCATTGCAAATTGTTTTATATTTTCCCTTTTTGTTTCGGTTTTTGCGTTATTTATACACCCAAGACGACATACATGGGACATCCAGCTGTGGGTTAAATGCAGTTCCTTTCACACAAGGTCCCATTTACATAGGGGAAGGACGACTGGGAGGGCTGGGAGACGAAAACGGCAAGCAAATGAGAAAAGTCGCATTATTAATTTGCCGCACCGCACGACCATAAATAAGGATGTCTGTCTTCGCAGGATTCCCGCTCGTCCCGCTTCTTTTTTGCACATATATAAAATTCAAAGGACCTCAGCCGCATCCTTGTCCATATGTTCCGGTTTTGCGGCTCGCCTTTTCTCCCGGCCCCCCATGCCATTTTCTTTAGCAATTTATTACTATTTTGACTTGTAGATGTGTGTGTGTGTGTGTGTATGTGTGTTGCCTCCTCGTCAGTGTCAGTGTGTGTATGTGTCCCCTATTGGTGTATCTGCGGCACGAGTTAGTCCTTGCTCCTTAGTCTCTCCTTTCCCTTCGACTTTTTGTGTGGGCTCTGCGACAATTTGTAAAGCAGGCAATTATCCTTATTAGCCGCTTATTTATGGCCATGTTTGTTTACTCGTTTTCCCATCGAGGCATAAGCAATGCGAAAACGATAATGGGGGAGTTGGCAGTACGCTTTCGTAGCCAACATAATTGCCCAGATTGGCAGCAAACCAACCATGCAAAACTCCATGCAACAGTTGGCTCTGACTGGGGATTTTTGAAGAGGGAGAAAAAAAAAATGAATTGGACATGAAATCGAACATTGAGTCGTTATTAATTTTTCATGAGCAATGGGAGATTGATTGGTCTCTGGAATAACAAAGCGTAATCGAGGACTCCTGTTTTATTGAATGGGTGAATTGGGACTCTCTCTCTTGTTGCTAATGAAACATTTTAAATATTTAATGTACGAATTCTAGGGATTTTTGGAACCCTTTAAAGCCACTCTCCAGGTGACTGGCTTCCTGCCGCCCCAAGTCATTTTAAATTACTGCATAATGAGTTGAGTCACCTTTTCAGGGGGATGTGGCATAAACTGGGCTGGCGTTGAAAGCTTTTTCGTGAGACTTTCAGGACATAAAGA